GTTGTTGTTACTCATCGAGTCGGCGGGTAACTGCATGCTGAAATATGTTCGTAGTCAGGAACGAGACGCAACCCATAGATTGCAATATGGTTCATGGAATTCTGAAAGAATGTATGATTCTTAGTATTTTCTCGTTACTGAATTGGAATTTGACTCGACTGTGTGTTGATTCAATTGACCTCTCGGTTACGACGGCGGGAATGTCGAATGATACCCCTCATCAGTGTGCGGGGAAACACTGATAGCGAAGTTACCACCGCCAACCGAGGCTAGCTGGACTTATAGTCGGCCGAGGATAACAACAGTAAGCGATATGAGATGGCGTAGCTACCGACATTCTTGGCGTCTTGATAACACATAAGTCTGGCAACTGTAGATGGGGATAAAAGTCATGTCATTCTAGTGCCTCTTAATTTCACTGCCTGTATGCACCAATATTCTAAGCCATGTCTCGTAAATATCGCTGTCAATGCCAATTACTATCCTCAGCATGACACGGCCGATTCCCGGACGGTGCTGTAGAGGCATACACGAGGTGGGAAAATACGATCCATGGGAAAATCAGGACCGTCTTACTCTAATTACCAATAACCCCAAGACACGATAGGCTGTGATCTTAGATAGCCGGAAAAGAAGTGATCAGATTTGCATGATAAGAATAATATACTGCCTAATTCTAGGGAAAGAAATGAAATGATCTAAATTTGTAGAGTCAAACGTTGATATCTGGGCTTTAGCATGATAAAGCCTTTCACGCTGTGATCTTCTCAACAAGTAGCTCTTGCATAGTGGCAGCTACTATCATGACGGTGTCACCTTTGGAGCAGCATTTGCTCAGGCGGATTCTGAGTCAGAATCTTGGTCACAAAAGCTGCACTCTCGATCTGCACCAGACCTGTAAGCTAGCCATATCTTTATCAGCTGCAGATTCCCCATTAAGGTACCGCGGAGAATATCCGAGTGCCAACCCTGTCATGTAGTTGCAGAAACTTGACACGCACTCCCATTTGCCGAGAAGTTATCATATCTCAGTGTTCGGAGATTTACCCCGCATGTCACGAACAAGAAATGTCCAACGCACTGGGTGACAACATAGCTGCGCTGGCCTGCATAACTGTGAAGGTAATTCCCACTTCGCCGGTGATTTCACACTAATTATATTACTCCAAGAGTTACCTACCATACTGATGATGGATTTCGAACTTAAGACGGCAGAGCAAGATGCAACGAAAGATGTTAACATCGATATCGGGACTATTCAGTTACATTTTACGGCGGAGGAAGAAAAACGCGTAGTTAGGAAGATCGATTGTTTCATTCTACCATTGGTTGGTGATCCCTTTCCTGTAATCCCGACTTCATGCTAATACCGACTTCAAAGATGTGCTTGGTGTTCTTCTTTCAATGTAAGTAGCCGGATGAGGACTTTAGGTCTGCCCTGGCTGACATTTCAGACCTCGACAAGCAGAGCCTTAGCTACGCGTCGGTATTTGGGCTTATTGATGATCTTTCTCTGGAGGGTTCTGAGTATTCTTGGTGCTCATCATTATTTTATCTCGGTAAGAGATACGGTTGTTCTGTTGTAGGATTAGCAAACTGATGCGCGATGCTCTCTCCAGGTCAGCTAGTTGCAGAGTATCCCTTCATATACTTTATGAGCCGGCTGCCTCTTACAAAGTTCGTTGGTGCCACAATGTAAGTCCGCGGCTAGAATTGACAATTTCGTTGAATTCTAACCAGGTTCACCGACAGCGTTTTCTGGGGTGCCGTGTGCATGTGCCTTGCGGCGCCAACAAATTTTGCAGGGTTCGGGGCTGTAAGGTTCCTCCTTGGAGTTACGGAAGGGGCTGTCTCTCCAGCATTTGTGACCCTCACTAGCATGTGGTACAGAAAACAGGAACATGCTTCAAGAGTGGGGTAAGAAATCGAATTCAGAAAGGCTTTGTTGAGCGATACAATATACTTACGTCATAATCAAACTATAGCATCTGGGTGACGATGAACGGCCTTGCCCAAGTCCTTGGGAGCCTGCTCATGTACGGAATTGGGAAACAACACTACCCGCGGCTGGAACCATGGAGGGTTCTCTTCCTCGTCTGCGGTGCACTTACAGCCGCCTTTGGCCTCGTCTTCTACTTCCTAGTGCCTACCGGTCCTCAGAAAGCATGGTTCCTATCCGACAGGGAGCGAGAGGTCCTACTGGCGAGAATGGCGCAAGACAGAGAAGGGGGTGATAAGACCAATTTCTCAAAGTCACAGGTGAAGGAGACTTTATTAGATGTCAGAGCTTGGTTTATCTTCGCTTTCGGCATCCTCGTCACGATGCAGTCGCCGGTTCTAACGGTATGCCTTCATTTACTCTCTAACCATTTCCTCGATGAAGAAAGCTCACGCAAGTCAGTTTGCTTCCTTAATTATCAAGAACCTCAACTACGATAAATATCAAACGATGTTGTATACCTCCCCATCAGGAGCCGTTCAGATTGTCGCGATCTGGATCGGTGTACTCGGCTGCCAACTCCTTCCCAACAACCGTAGCTTGGTGGTCATTCTACTCTCCATCCCTCCCTTGATTGGCAACATACTCCTTCTAAAGCTTCCACTTACGACAGGATGGGGATTGATAGTGTCCTCTTGGCTAGTACGTTTTGACCCCTCTGCCTCATATGAAGCGTGCGCTCACCCGTGATGCTAGGCGTCCTGCATCTCAGATGTGATGGTCATCCTTCTTAGTCTGAGCGCATCAAATGTAAAAGGAAATACGAAGCGGGCGATGGCCAACACGATGTATTTCATTGGCTATTGTGTTGGCTGCATCGCAGGTCCGCAGCTGTGGCAGACAAAATCCGCGCCCAGATTCTTTGAAGGGGTAGTTACTGCAATTGTAACCTGGTGTGTGCTGGTGCTAGTTATGGTCCTTTATTGGTACTTGTGCAGGGCTGAGAATCTGAAGCGAGACCGGGAAACCAGCACTTCTGCCGAGGTGGTTTTGCATACCGAGGATGTAACAGATATTGAAGATCGACTCTTCCGCTACAGTTATTGATAAGCCTCTAGATTTGGAGGACTGGTGGGGTGGGTCCGCCATGCTGAGCAGTATTGGATCAGTGGCTTTGTGGATCTAGGAAACAAATACGGATACAGTCAAATATAGTCACCAGCAATCTATCTTAATTATGTTTCCTGGTCGCTAGCAATTGCCATAGCAGTCAAAGATACTTTGACCAAGGAGAAGGAACAAAAGAAATTATCTTTTCCAGAAGGCCGGGAGTTACATTAACCAGTAAAGCTCGATAAGTTAGGAGCTAACCAACCAACAAGCCTTACTAGCTCTAGCCCCCCCCCCCCCCCCCCTCCCCCCCCCCCCCCCCCCCCCCCCCCCCGTCCCCCTCCCTGTTTCAAACCATCCTTTTACCCCAACACTTTGTTTATCTAACATATAACTCCATCTGTCACCATTCCACCCCAAACCCACAAGAAGAAAGAAGGAGGATGCCCCCCAATATATTCTCCAAGCTTCTCCGTCCTCGCAAAAAGGACGCAGACCCAGATCCCAACCCTCCACCCCGCCGCACCTCCCCGGAAGCCCCCGGAATCCTTGACACCAGCTGCACCATTATTACCCAAAACCAAAAGCAAAGACGGTATAAACTTCCTATCCCGGACCCCGAGTACCGCCAGCGCCAACTCCAAACCCTTGCCACATCATCTGCCAGACCTCAAAACCCACAGTCTCAAAGCGCATTCTTTTCCAGGCTACCACTTGAGGTCCGTAATATAATTTACAGGGAGCTATTTGGTGGGAGGAGAGTGCACATTGATTATCTGTGGAAGAGACCGTCTGCTGTTGTCGCGCGGCCGCCGACGGGAAAAGACAAGGGGAAGAAAGCCGATGCTCATTGGCAATGGTGGCACCGGGTCTGCGCGGTCAGCGATGAGTGGGTGGATGATCGATTCGAGGAGCGATGTGTGAATGCGCTCTATGAGCGGGACGAGACGCTGGCTTGGGGCTGGGAGAAAGCAGCACCCCCGGGAACCAAGTTGCAAGGCGTGGCGGCGATGCTGACGGTTTGTCAGATGGGGTGTGTGTGGCTTTTTTGTTCCTTTTTCCTTTACCCCTTATTTCCTCTTCCCTTTGGTAATCTTGTGTGAGGCCCTCTCTAACTACAGACAAAAAAGATACACCGAATCCCTGCCCATCCTCTACACCACAAATACCTTCGTCACAGGCCCCAGCATGGACACCCCCTTCATCATCCGGCGTCTTCTTGCGCCCCCCTACACAGCCCTCATTACCGGCATGGACATCGCAATCACAATGGTCATGCCCTACACTGCGCCTCCGGATCTTCCTGGAAACTGGACGACGGTTTATCCCGCGTTCTTCGATCTGCTGCAGCATTCGTTTTCCGGTTTGCGTCGCCTGCATTTAACTATTTACCTTAACCCATGGGAAAAGAGCAAGAAGCCTGTTACTGAGGAGTCGCTAGAGGGGTTCTTAGCGCCATGGAAAGAACTTGAGGCAAGTCGCGAGTGGACAGAGTTATGTTTTTTTGTGCCGGGGGATTGGTTTGAGCTTCTGAGGGGGAGGTTTGAGACGCAGCTGGAGAGGCAGACTGAGAGGAGGTGGGCGTTGAAGAGGACGAGCGTTAGGCCGCTGGTGGTGGGGAGTTGTTTCTAGGTTTTAGGTGGGAGTGTATTGTTTTGCTTGAACTTATATACTCATAGCTAGATGAAATCTTAATTCAATACTCTAACTTTAAATTCTTAATCAAAGAATATTTAATACCCTTTTTAAGAGAGATAATTAGACAACGTAAAAATATTATACTGTGAGTATTTATATTGATACAAATCTACAGGGTAAGCACTTACTAGGAATTTATATTACATACTTTATATTCAGGAGAACCTGCAGACAGTCTTGAGGTTATAAGAAGCCGCCCATAACACTGAACACACTGTGTATCTCTCGGTGCTCCTCATCCCCGGTGGTGATCATGCCTGCTACCCGCCGGCAGTACCGGGTTGCCGTACTCCCGATTATGGTAAAGTAGATGAATATCACTTTCAATCCGTCCACTCCACTCACCTCACTCAGACTTATCCAAGATCTCCCGACGGGCTGGAGCTGCACATTTACCCCGCGAACTCTTGCCTTCCCCGGAAAGTTGGGGTAAGCGGGACCGGGAAGCCAGCACTTCTGCCGAGATCGTCTTGCATACCGAGGACGTCACAGATATCGAATATCGGCTCTTCCGCTACAGTTATTGATAAAGCTTCGAGCGTCGGAAATCTGTGGGTGTAATATCGAGTCCTTGGGTGTTCAACCGAGGACTACCTGAGTATGCTAAAATGCTGAACAGATATCGTGCACGTAAGATTATGAAGAATAAAGGATGCTTGATTTTGCGGACATGTGCATATCATGACACCGTCTGTTTTCGTTGGTCATCTGTGATTCTACTTGCATCGTTGTACATGTGAGATAGATACACGCGGCTTATCGCGAGTTGTAAATCTGTGCTAGCTTCAGATTCAGCCTGTTGATTCAAGATGTTCTAAGTAATACGCCGCTCGCGCACAAGCCTACAATGACGGACCTGACTACTAATGAGGCTAATTATTGTATCGCGATTCAGCAGGACCTTTCTTGCCTGGTATCTAGAATTACTGGAATTACCCGCTAATTTGAGAAAAATATTACAAAAATTGAAAATACGTAAAAGAGATTTTGTTCATGTTTCTTTGCCTTTTCCTTTGTCTACAGCCCTTATATACCTAAATACATTTTCTATTTTCTCAAATAAGGTATGATATCATTGTTGTTCCTATATCCCCTTATGCCTGGTATGCCTATGCCGTTAATCTTGAATGTACGTATCTAGTCTTGCTGTCCTGATTCGTTTATTTTAGTCATATAATATATTCCGAAAACTTCTTTTGATGACGTAGTAGTCCTGAAATCAGTTTTAAAAAGTGTTGATCAAACCTGGGACGTCAGAGAATTTAAATCAAGAAACTAAAGGTATTAGAAGGGTATATCAGATTTTCTTAATGAATTATTATTTATAAGTATGCATGTGTGGGAGTGGTAAACACACGAAGCATAGATACTGTCTTCCTGTCATATCTTAACAGCAATGTTAAGTACATACGACCACGGGACAATGGTGAGGTAAATTGGGGTGAGTTACACAGTCGCAAGGGCCAATAGGCTATGGCTCAATGAGTCTCGCTTTCCTTTCATGGATCAATTATCGCGCTACATACGGTAATAAGACTCACGACACTCGGATGATGATTTGGTAGTAGCACAGCTCATGGTTATGATCTGACGAAGCTTCTGCCGCCATTCTCCAGGTCAAAATAGTGTCCATCAGTTTGGAATGCTTCAGTGTTTAGCATCCAGTCCACGTTTTATCCCGATTACCTCTGCGAAGATTGAGTTATTGTCCGCTTCTTATAGCATCTAGCTACCGATAATTAGCAGTAATATGTTTCTGTGGACTAGCAGGTAAGGGCCAAGGTGAGTATTCATCAAGTTCAATCTAGTTCATCAATTTATGCGAGCTTGTTTGAGGGCTGTGTCCATTTGGGACCTACGGTCTGGCAGTGTAGATGCTTGGTAATCACAGCAAGATCCCAAACTAATAGCAATCCTCCAAAGTAGAATATTGAGATCGAAGCAACACATCGGGAATCGCAAAGTAGCCGCCACAATCAAACAGATATTGACATCGAGTAGAACTAAATGACCGTTCTCTAATGTTATTGGGCACAAGGTACTCCTTGTACTTCGAGTAGTCGTTGATCTCAAGCCCAGTCGAGGTGCTATACACCCTAGTGACCTTCCCGTATGCGGCGGGTGTGCGCAAAAAGTTCTTCCTGCATATCTTCGGCGATCCATTGCTTGATGATAATATAGTTGCCGTCATTCTAGACATGTTTAGAACTAATTCAGCCTCGCTTTTTGGTAGTTGTATACGGAGCTCACCTCATCCCAGTCCCATGGAAGGTGGTATGCCATCAGCGTGTCTGGAAGAAGATACTTGCGGTGAACCTGGAGTTGAAGATCAGAAATGATCGCATGGAAAATTGTCTGAGTGAGCTTACCTTGATCCACGTATCGCGGCGCTGCTGCTCGTCCTCGTCCCGTCCCTTGTCCTTCTTCGATGTCTCTGCTCTCTTCCTCACGATCTTTTCAGTTTCCTCCTCGGTATAACCAAACTCATCCCTCAGGTGCTCCTTGAATTCATTCAATTCATTTTCACGTCTCTTGATCTCAGCAAGCTTCCACTCCTCTATGGCTGCTTGCTTCCTCTTACGCTCCTTCGCTATTCTTTCTTCTTCTTCCTTCCTGAACTTCTCCTCAAACTGCGCCCGCAATGCTTCCTCCTCAATGGCCCTCTGGTACTCTTCTGCCTCAAGTCTCTCAAGCCTTCGAGCCCGCCGCTCACTGAGCTCGAGTCGTTCAATATCCTCCTGGAAGGTAAGATCCTCGAGGTCTGTTCGCCGGTCGATCTCCACCTGCGGCCGACGGAGATCGAGGGCTTGTCGCAGCCGTTGAGTTCGTGGCGGAGAGGCACTCGCAGGGGCCGCTTGACGGGATCTTGCTCGGTCTCGTGCTCTGGGATGTCTCTCTACGTTGCTTGATCCTCCTGTAGACATTCTTCGGCCTCGAGTTTTAGGTTCTTCCGCGCCCTCTGGGGCAACCACATCGGGATCGAGCCCAGTAGCCTTTGTAGCTGCATTATCCCTGCCTGAAAGTTCCTTATCGTTGTCGAACTTACCTGGATTCGAGCTGTCTAGGAGGCTTGTTTTTCGAGCATCAGGCTGGTGTGGCCTGATCGCATGCGACTCTTGTCGATCGGTAGGGTCTAGGTCGTCTGTCTGTAAAACATCTCCTGAAATACTTCTTTTGGGGCGTAAATCGTGATCATCCAGAGTCAAGGTCCCACTTTCGCCAGCTCGTACACTGATGGTCTTCTCCCCAACAGACCCTTTGGGAAAACTCATCCTTATCCCATTCAGCGTCATGATGATAGCATCGTCTTCTCCAGGCCTTGCAACACTTTCGGTTTCCTGGCCGCCGTTATCCGATTCTCCATGCCCTGAGTCGCCATGCTCTGATTCGTCGTTCCCGGATTCGTCGTTCCCGGATTCGTCGTTCCCGGATTCGTCGTCGAGGACTTCATCATCCTCTGTGCCCCGAGGTAGCACGAACAGAGACAGCTCTTCCAGATGGCGACCAACGTGTTTTTCGAAAGAAGCCATCGGAAGCAAATCTTCAGCACATAGCGGACATGCGTAGCTTCCTCGTACATCCTGGCTCGCCATGTGTGTTTGACGAATATGGCGATACCAGGCCTTCCGGCTCTCGTAAAGTTTGTTTTGTGTCGGACAACCGGAGAAGATGCAAATATACGGCGATAGGTCGCGGAATATATGCCTTGCCCAGGCCTGCCGGTCTTTCAATGTAATGATATAGTAACAATAAGGGCATTCAAACGGTCTTCGTTCTGCGGCTTCTCTTGGAAATGCAGGAATTGCCAGTTTCTCGCCTCCGGACAGCAGACTGCCTGCGTATGAGGTGAAGGACGCATCGGAATTGCTCATCAGGTCATCTGGTTTTTGACCGGGTGTCTCCAGTTTGAATGCACTTGCGACAGTCTCTGATAGTTGTACTGTGGTATTGTCATCGGCTCCAATGTTCAGGCCCTGATTGAGTTTTAGGTGATGTCGCTCTCGGTATTTCAGGATCGCTCTTTGCCGAGCCATTGCAGAGCTAATTCGCTCAGTAAGCTGATTCTCCGCCTGTGGATACTTATGTGACACATGCTGATGAAAATTAAATTTAAAGGGCTCTGCATCGCTCTTCTCGGTTCCGATCAGACGGTCTTGTTGGGCGGGCTTGCGGACCGTCATGGAGATGTCGAACAGCTGTGATATCTTGTTGACCAGGCTCTCGTGGGCGTCTGAAACAGTCAATATAGAGTCTGACGGATTATCTAGATTCAACTCTGCGATAAGGCTTTGCAAGTCCTCATCCAGCTGGTCGTCTTCTACATCTTCCTTTTCTCCACTGAGGCTGTTTCTTAACTCTGCAAGGAGTTTCCTTATCGCCTCTAAAATTCTAACGGTCTGGTTCTTGATATGCGAAGCATCCCTCAAGCGATAATCCAGGGATGACTGGCCAGTCTGATGAGCTCCGATGTTGCCGGCCCAGAGGCGCAGACGCCCGAGTTCGTCTTTCCACGCCCGCAGTGGCACTGCACTCTGACTCTGAACGAAGGCACCGGAAGTGATCAGCTCGTGGAGCTCCTTGAGACAAGCCCGGGTCAGGTCAGATATCGTAGACATGATATAGGTTGATGCGGAGAAGTAACATGGAAATTATTCTTATTATTACTGTGATTATGATGCTTATGCGCAGTGCCCACTACGGCGACCGATTCAGACAGAAGGGTCAATACTAGAATACAGCGTAAGCACTAGTAACTGCTTACATTTCTGCCAGCAGAAAATAAATTGACCTGCTTAAATTCACCGTACAATTGGCTACTTGTCCCGAACACCCTTGCTCATGTGTTGTACAACAGGACCCGTAAAAGTGGGGCGCTGGGTCCTCAATCTAGCAGACAAATGGGAGCAGAAATATCATATTTACCTGACAGGATGATTGGAATGTCTTTGTCCCTTCTTCTTCCCCTTGCCTCTCGTCTAATGGGATTGGAACCTCCTTATCAGCCTCCTCTTTCTCGAAGTTGATTGGACGAATGACAGCCTGTCCTCGTGCATTATCCTGTCCTAATCAGGAAGACCTAGCCTCTGCTGCCCTAGCTCCACCCCAAATTCATCCAGTATAGAGTACTGATGAGCCCGGCCAGGCCATTTACTATTTGCGCATTCCCCACCGGATTCGCCTGGTACATGGCGGCATTTGGGAAGGGAGCAACAGCGTCCTTGTACGCCGCGGCATGTGTACAAGGCCGGACATGTCGTACACCCCTTGACTGAAGTTGCAGTTAATCGATGTACAAGGGCGATGCTGCTCTATATTCCTAGTTGATATTCTGCCACGGATCTAAGGAAAAGGTTGGGTCAGCAGCTGTCATTCTGCGTCGGTGCGGACATAGGCATATCGGGCGTGCGGTGGTCGTCGTCGTCGCCGTCGACGTCTTTGTTGTCTTGGTAGGCACTGGCAAAACCCTCCGTAGATTTTTGAGGGATTGGTGAGGAAGGGGCGGATGGAGTAACTGTGACAGAAGATTGACATCCTGCCTTCCTAAACCAAGGATCATGTTGAACTAAGCTCTGGAATTGATTAACATGTCCAGATATATCTAACATTTAATTTCTAAAGAAAAAGGTCATATGCAGGCTGACCAACTCTAATAAGAAGATTTAGGTCAAGCTATAAATTTTACCTACTGAGATTTTCACCTTTATCTATTATACCATCTGGTAAGTGATATTATTAGAGAATAAAAACATACCATATTCTCGTACATTTGTGCAAAGTCTCAACAAGCTCCATATTAGACTAGAAACCCTAGTACTTCACTCCTGCAGATGGGAATCTATAAATTACACAAGCCTTCCACAAACTAGATATGGGCGGTTAGGTTGCACGTTAGTGATGGTCATGCCAAGAATATACAAAGGAAACAATGTGCAGGCAGACATGAAGAACATAGATGGCATATAAACCAAACCTGATTAGCAAACTAGAGGTTTGAATATAAAATATAACTTGGCTTACTAAAGACCATATATATATTCCTACTTCTTTGAGTAGTCTAGTATCAAGTACTATTAGTAGGCGTACAAAGACTCAGTTTATATTGGTGTATTAGTCCACTGGTTTTTATGGCCAGTACTCGTACCTAAAGATAGCAATCACTTACTTGAATTTACAATAGAGACTACTGAAGTTCATGCTAGGCTTCAGAAAGTAGGACTGCTTCTCAACTCTGGCCTGGCCATGCAAAGCAAGACTGATGTTGAGTTACCTTCAGGGTCTCCAAGAACTGTTAGCGAGCGCTTACAGCTTTGGGGGAGCTGATATCCATTGATCCATATAATATACCAAAAAATATGCATTAAGAGCAGCGTATATCTCAATACCGTACGGGGCTATCTTAAGGTATCCATCAATGGACGAGAAGAAATTAGGGCCAGGGGTAATATAAGCGCCACGATGCTGTTGGATATTTTGCCACCGGTAGTTTATAGCCATTGGTGCTAGTTCTCGGGATGTGGAAACAGCCGGTCACTTGTACGCAGTTGTCTAGCTTATGAGAGGTGTACATATTGTTTATTATACCTGGCCATAATGAACCCTTTACTTTGAAAATGGTGGTTAAGCATTCTCATACCATTTTCCTGAATTTGACCGGATTAATGCACCGTGCGGAGTTTCCATAAGACCTCATTAACGGTTGCTAGGTTAGCAAAGGCATTTGTGGTTTAGCGGAGGAAACCCTGGGGCTACCGAACGAATCGCAATTTACGAGCTTGGATATCAAAGCCGTCTGAACGGAGAACATGAAAGATCTTTTCCTCACCCAGGCCAACTGGTACATAAGGATCTTAATCCGATAATGCAGCATTTCAGCAGTCCATGCCGTACGATTTTAACTTGGACATTGTATCGATTAGAGAGTAACTTAGCAATGGAACTAGGGACGTTGCCTATCTGATAGAGATTGAGATCTCATCCCGATAGTGCTCTAGGACGATAGTTGGACGAATTATAAACATTTTAGAAACAGGAACTAAAAATAAAGTAAGCGGTTAAAAAGGCGGTATGCAAATACTTAGATTGTAATTTGGTTTTTCCCTTTTGTCCGGATAGTACGCCGTAATTCACAGCGAGGCTGAGCTAGCTGATGCGGGGTCAAGTTTGTCGTTGTCGCGATGAGATTCGACTCCAACCCACATCTCCCAAACAAGGGATTACTGCGTTGCCATGGTCTCAGGTGTTGAAGCAGTCGGGCTTGCTCTCGCTCTTCTCCCGCTCGTTGTGAACCAGCTCGACAACTACGCCCACGGCATCGAACAGATCAAGAGGCTGAGTCGCTACCAGCGCACACTGGAGGACTTTGCGCTGCAGCTGGGCACTCAACATAGGATCTTCCAGAATAGTCTCCAACATGTCCTCGATGAAGTGGTCGACGACGACAACCAGTTGCGCGATCTAATTAGCGACCCGGATGGGGACGGCTGGAAGGAGCCTTTGCTGGAGAAAAGTCTCATGGCTAAGCTGGGCCGCGATCATGCCTACTTCTTTGCTAATGTCGTAAGCCTGCATGATATGCTCAGACGTATGGCAGTAAAACTGGATGTTGATGTTACCAGGGGACCGCAGGTATGCCCTAACTTTATTTTACTCGAGTGACATCTGACCTACGAAATAATTTCAGAATACGCCTCCTTCAAAGATGCAAATTGTCCTCTTCCTGAAGGTCCTTTCAAAGGCCACGTATGAGGACATGCTGCAGAGAATTAGGAACCTCAATGACGTTCTCAGAACATTGTTAGACCAGTCTGCACAGCTGGAGGCGAGTCGGCAGAAGCGCAGTCCGTGGCGACGACTGCTCCCTCAATTTCAAGAAGCACGAAAGAACGCAGAGGGTCTATTCAGAGCCATTGTCGGCAGTTCCAACTGGAGCTGTCGGTGCCAGAGCTCCCACAGCGCCCATCTGCAGCTCCAATCCAACCCCTTCGCCGAGACCCCGAAAGTGGGCAAGACAGCAACCTACCGGATAACCTTTTCCAATTCAGACAACGGTACAAAGAATTCGTGGACATGTAGGGAGGTCGAATTTGAGCCGTACACCTTTGATCAACCTTTGGCACCAGTCACCAACCATGCCCTACCTACATCCAGGTCAAACCAACAGAAGCCGCAAAAGCCTAAGGTTCGCTTCGAGGCAGTCGAAGTGGATTTTTATGAGTCAAAGGAGAAGTTTTGCAATGTTCCTCCCATCGCAGACTTCTGTACTGTACTGTGTCGCGGTGGGGCGCACACAGAACCGCCGACACAGGCCGTGGGCTTCATTGCCGATCAAGTGAGCTCGAATGTTCGGTACAATATGTACTTCATCAAATGCTACCCAGAGCCCATCCAGCTTCAGTCACTGCAGCAAACATTGCCAAACAGTAGTAGACGCCATCGGCTGTATATCGCCGCCGGTCTTGCGTGCGGAGTGCTCCAATATCACGGCAACTGGTTGAAGAAATACTGGGACAGTTCTGACATTCAATTACCTGCAGATGATGATGACGATGCAACTGATGACGTTTTACCAAGCGATCTCTACCTTCCCTGGTCACTAAACCTCCAACATTCCTCATCAGCACCCACGGATATCATTTATACGCAACAATCCCCACTCGTCCGCAATCAAGTCCTCTTCCCACTCGGCATAGCTCTGACCGAACTCTCCCTGGGAAAATCTATCACCTCTCTCCGACGACCGCAGGATGAGCAAGGAAACGAAGACTCAACCCGGTTCATCACGGCATTTCGCGTCCTCAACAGAGTGCAGCAGGAAAGTGGCTCAAACTATAGAGACGCCGTACATAACTGTCTTTGCTGGTTGGACGTAGATTCGCCTTGCTTGGAGGATGAGAAGTTCCAGGGTCGTGTGTTTAATGCTGTCGTTGCTCCGTTACTCAGGGACTTGGCGCACTTTGAGGGAGTGGGTACGCTATGAAATACTATAACATACACTTTGTCTGATAAATACTGGTCTAATTATAATGAAATGAAATTCAATTCCTGATCAATTGGTCGTCTCTCTATCGATCTCAGGGCGCTTTAAATTGGAGAAGGGCTACCCGCGCTGGTGGTTGTTCTTGTGCCTGAAGCAGATGAAGATACTGCAAGCACAGTGCTGGTGGTTGAGGTTGTGGTTGTTACTACTAGCGCGCTAAGATAGTAATACTGAGGACGTAACAGATATTGAGGATCGGCTCTTCCCCTACAGTTATTGACCAGGCTATAGATGTGGGAACACGGTTGGGGCGGATCCGTGATACTGAGCAGTATCGGATCAGTGGCTTGTATATCTAGGGAAACAGATAAAAGTACTATCAGCTATGGTTACTAGCAATCTATCTTAATTATGTTTCCTGTTCGCTAGCAATTACTATAGCAGTCAAAAATACTTTAACCAAGGCGAAGGGACAAAAGAAATCGTCGGAAGTTGGTCGGCGGTGGTTATGTTTTCACCTTATATCACTACAGGGAACTCACATCGCGGTCAACAGGTATATATTAGTGGAAGTGACCTGCAGAAATGCTGGTTGACCAAGTTTGTATATTGTTCAATTGGTACAACTCATGCTGTCAAGAGGTAGAGAAGAAATGTGACTTTCACAGGACATACTTAAGGCGAGATTGAAAGCATTTAGAATAAGAACTATGGTGAGAGCAATATCACGAGCGTCTAGTTACATACTGTTGTAGATATGGTACCTTGGATGAATTTGCTATAGGTCTCTGATTAGGCGTATCGAGTACATACGACCATAGGGTGTGGAAAACAGGGCTTCCCGTCCGCTCAGCCGTACTTAAGCCACACGCCGGGAGGTTAGTAGTTGGGTGGGTGACCACCAGCGAATCCCTTCTGTTGTATGTTTTTGATAGCTTTTCAAATTTCTGATTGCTATACAACAACATGAACAAGATTGCAGAATCGCCATCATCAGTAGTGGCAACCGGTGCTGAGTGTTGTGACGATATTCAAGGTGCAAGTAGTTCCATTGTGATTGCGGTCGCTACGTTCGACACATTATAACCACTCAAAAAAGTCAGGTGCTTATAGATTGATACACCGTGAAGAGGGAAAAATAAAAGAGGAGTTATTTGGTTCACAGGAGAGATGAATATCCTTTTGCTCAATAGTTCAAAACTAGTATAGAATTAAGCTCAGCTTCCAGGGTACGACCCGGGTCCCAATAGTATGATTTACTTGTGCAACCAACAAGTACTGTGTATGAATTTGAAAGTCTTCAAGAAAGCATTGACTTGCGCCACAGTATAAAATCAGCCAGCAGACTAGAGCAGCGAAACTGAACAACAACACCAGGCTCCACGGAGACAGGACTGTATGCATTTTCAATCCTTGCGTTTAATATCTCACGATCGGGCCTCCGATAACCCGAAGGGGAAGGCATCTTGGGGAGATGCAAGCGGAAAAATTACCGCCGCAGGGCTTTCTGCCAGCGTTTAATGTTCATGCTAGTGCAGCAGGCGATTGAAGATAAGTTCGACTATAAATCCATTCAGATCTTCAGCGACTCCATATTATATAATAAATACCTAAGAAAGTGATCTATTCTTTGGACACACATTGTTGATATTATGGCCAACTGCCTGCTATCCGCCTGGTCAACATATAAATTAAGAAAACACCCAATTGCTACCAGTGCCCCCAAAGATACTCAAGAAAAGCCATATGCCAAAGCAACTTAGAAGCGGAATGGTCAGGTTATCATCGCATCCCAAAAGATTGACAAATTCACTCCCTGCCGCGACAAGCCCGGTTATGATACTCATAATTACGATAGCCCAGGGACCTGTGATAGCCGAACAGTCCGGGGGTGGTGGCATTTTATTAGCATCATGGCAAAATGAAAGAGATCCATCGAACATTGACCTCCGTTCAAGGCGGTATTGATCAGCCCCAACATAGCTCCAGAATGCTGCAGCAATCAAACCCGCAGAAATACAGGCGGCAAGAGTCCCAGCCAAACTTTTGCCGTCGCGTAGGTAAACGGTCTTGGTGGCGTATAGGCGCCCGAATGTAGCAGCCGCTGTGTCCGCAAAGGATAGAATTAATATGCCCATCATGGCAACATCAACTGGGAAGATGCGCATGACAAGGTAGGTCCCTAGCAGATAATAAATTAGGGAATTGTAAGAGTTGGCTTCTTCCAAGCGCATCAGAAAGCCAACCATCCGGCGGTAGATGGTGCTGATGGAGATGAAACGGTGACGCAATGTGTCGCCGGCAGCGAGGATAATTAACGCGTTGAGATTCCGGTTGAGGATCTTTTCGATAACAACTCCTTGAATGTGCCAGTAAAAGACAAGAACGCCGACTGAGATATGGAGTAGCTTGCGGGATATCTCGTACTTCTGAACCGTGGTGTAGAGAGCTTCATTCGTGGGAGAATTTGGTTGCGTTGAGGACAGTAGGTGGCTTAGGTATGCATGCCACCGGGAACTTGAGAAAGTGATGTTTGTAGAAGCCATATTGTCGATCAGTCTAACATGGGGTTCTTTCGTTTCGGTACGGTCATACGGGGTCAGAGAGCTTTGGTGGGATGTTATAGTAGCAATTAGTAAATGTACCCTTGGGGACGAGGCCTGATAGTTTCTCGGCGTCCTGGTCATGAATCATGGAGATAGGTACATGCTTCCTCGCGGTTACACCATCGCAATGCATGTACATTACAGAAAATGTAACAGTGCATCTGTCAGACTGGGACTGCGGGTCTCAGGCTAAATTCTAATGGGAAACGGGTTCCCTGGAATTAAGGACTACCCATGATTCACAATCGAGACTTGTAACAGTGGAAGTAACTCGTTGGTCATACTTTTTACTCTTAAGTTTTTCTTGTTTATTATCTGAGCGAGACTGAAAGATGCGGCAGGGAATGGGCACTCCAATGGCCTATACATGTCTTCAAGATTGAGGCTGTGCCCTAGAGGCCTCTAACCGATGGTTTGATTCAAGAGGTCTATCCATGTTGCGCGTAGCAATCGCTACAGTGCACACCAGTCCCGCCCCTCCAATAATTGTCAGGACAACGAAGACCCAACGAAATGCATAAATCAGCGCTTCCTCAACAATCCGCCGCTGTACGGGAAGCGGTGAATTCATTTGCAGCGCTGCTACATAACTTGTAACATTTTCTGCGATGCGGGCCGCAACGTCAGAGTCTGCAAGGCTGTTTGTAATGAAGTTCTGCAGCAATGTCCCTTCAATGACAACACCAAGGGTGAAACCAAGAGCCCGCGTGGTTGTGAATATTGCAGTCGCATATGCAGCATCTTTGCCTGGTACCACAGCCTGAGCGGCGAAGAGGAGCGAGTTTAACAAAACTCCATGACCAGCGCCCACTGCAATAAGCTTTCCAATAGAACCTGCGGCTGAGCTTCGCAGACTGACTGAACATAGCAGTCCAGTGCCCAGCAATGTTGAGACCCATCCGACGAAAAGCCAAGGTTTGTACCTTCCTAAGCGTGTCATCAGCAAAGAGGCCGCAAGAGCGGAAGGAATCATAGTTCCAAGCATAGCGAGCAGTATAGCACCCGTGACAAGCGGTGAATATCTTTTGATGCCCTCAAGATATAGCGAACATGCATATAGCGTGCCGGATAGCTGCATGCAGGACTATATCAATTGACTGATCATAAAAACGTGACTCGACAAGAATGTATGCACTAACCATTATGCCTTGTATGATAGATGCGAGATATGAGGCTAAGGAGGAGTGATTTCGAAGAACCGTAGAACTCTGGTCCCAATGGGCCCAAAGCAATGTGAATGCAAGGCCAGCAGCGCCTATGCACAACGGGAGCAGTGTGCGGAAACTGCCCCAACGGTACAGGATTCCGCCCCACGAAACTGGTACCAACAGACACATCAAACTACCCCCAAGGAGTATACTGCTGACCCAACTAACCTTTTGCTTTTTATCCATGATATGCAAACGCAAAAATAAACATATAGTAAGGAAAGCGCCGGCGCAGACGGGGAACGTGATGTAGAAGATCCATCGCCAGCCTTCGTGGATATTCTGAGCTAGCGCACCCCCGCTTACTGGACCCAGCATCATGCCGAGCGCTGATGCAATCTGGAGTAGACTCGTGTATTTTGGTCGCTGTCTGAGCGGGAATATATCTGTGGTTATGACTTTCGGAAGGGATAAGAGGCCTGCACCTCCAATCCCTTGGACTGCACGACCGGCAATGAAGGGTCCTACACTTTCTGCCACTGCAGGACCAACCGCACCGGCTGCGAAGAACAGTAGGGAAATTAGCAGGACGCTTTTACGCCCGTATACCTCTGATAATGAGCACATGACTGGCTGTAGAGAGGCCGAAGGCAGAAGGTACGCTGTCTGTCCCCAGAAGCTGGCCGTGGCACCTGCATGGAGATCTTGGGCAATCACCTGCAGAAATATCATGAGCCGCGGCGTAACTAGATGCTGTAATGTAGGTTGTGCTTACTGAGATTGTCGAAGGAAACGCAGTGGAGTTAAAGGCTGTGAGTACGCTGATGGTAGCCAAGACTAATATGGTGGCATGCTCGGCGCGCCCTGCTTTCCAGTCTAATGCAACATTCGTCGTCGTGTTAATTTGCCCTTCTTCCTCAAAGTTGGCGTGCACAAGAGCTGAGTTCCCATCCTCGGACTTGGAGCTCGGAGACATCTTTCAGATGGTGCAACACTTCATCGCAGTAGAGGTACATGCGATATCATATATTCCAATGTCGTTCCACAATTGCGAGATGTTGCTCATCTAGCGGCAGGGTGACAGTTACATGCCGATCCATATCAAGACCCTTGATAAGTGACTTTTTTCCGCGGAGGTTTCGTTATTCAACCACGGTAGTACCGTGAATGGTTTATCAACACGACTAAACTGCTTCTTGTCGGAAGCACTGGTCATTTGTGTAACCATGTTGCTGGCCCACGCTTTTTACGGAAATGAATAGTTACAAAATGCTAAACAATTTTCCGTAATATCTAGTTTGACAGGATACCAGTCCTCAATGCAACATGGCAGGATCAGGATGCAGTGCAACCTTGGTTCCATGCTTGCTTGCGCATGTAAACGTCAATAACTCCTGCCACTCATGAGGATCGCGCTCGCACACGCGATCGAAATGTTGTACCATTCGCACTGTCGTATACATTGCTTGCATAAAGCCCATCTGTTGGCCTATACACAAGCGAGGACCGCCACCAAAAGGAATATATCCCCAACCGGGTCTAATGCCATCCCATCTCTCTGGTCTGAACTCCTCAGCATCATCTCCAAAGGTGTTTTTGTTTCGGTGTAGACTGAATAGGTCGAGAACGACGGTCTGGCCTTTGGCTACCAAAATAGGATTGTTTCCATCCCTTCCACCACCGGTGGGCAGGAGGGTATCCTTGACGGCCACTCTGGCGCTTCTTGGAACTGCGGGATAGAGCCTGAGAGCTGTCCGGGCATGTTTAGCTGAAATACGTCACATCAATGGCGTGTTTGAGTTAGTATTGACGTACTTTCTTTGACAACTGATGAGACATATTTCAGTCTTCTGATCTCTTGTATGGATGGCGGCTTTCCGTTAAGGGCTGCTACATCGTCTCTTAGCTTCGCCCAAATGTCTGGGCGACGAGCTAGTATATGAAACTGAATACTGAGAAGGGACGCCGTGGTATCTCTTCCTCCCACGAGCACACTAAACAGTTGATCGACTAGTTCCCTTTCATCAGACGTATCACTGGTTAGCTGTTTTAAGAGAGAGTCTGGTAATGGCTTGTCCATCGCTTCGGATTCGTGTGTGTTCAGAGCGTTCTGCGCGAGCCTTTTCACAAAGGCACGGCTTTTGGTCGTAGCAGACAATACCCGAAACTTCTGCAAGGGGCTCAAATACGTGAGACGCCCCCATTTGATCATGTGGAGTGCGCCAGCCTGGGCTTGATCATAGTCTCTACAGAACTCAGCAGGTGAATCACAACCACTTGTTTTCGAAGACTCTGCTAGCTGGCCAAATAGAATCTCGCAAATGGTGTCCATCGTCTGGAAATGAGAGAAACTGCAATGTCAGCTATTTACTCTGCACTCCCGAGCCGTGGAAAGGCACCTCACCATTGAAAAGAAGAGCTCCTGCAAATCGACCGTTTCATCAGCCATTCGAATTTTTTCTAGTAACCGCGTAAAATGTCTTTCATAGAGCTGATAGTTTACGGCTTGAATCCGTGTCAATCCATGCTTTAGTAGTATCCGTGACCGCTTCCACGGCTTTCCTGTAGCGGCTAGAGCCCCCCCTCCAAGGAGTGGACGGAGAGCTCTGATCCTTGATTGTCCGATGCAGTAATCGCGCGCATTTGTTGAAAGTATAGTTTGAATATTCTTAGGATCAACTGTGTAGAGCCTTTCACTGGTAAGAAGGAAGGCGCGGAAGGTGGCTCCGTGGCTTTGAAATCGCCTATAAGATTCAGATAGGAACGAATGGGTTTGCGAGGCACCATATAGCTTTTGAAATCTGTCAAGTCCAAGAATGGGGTCCTTGTTCTTATCGGTAGGGGGCGCTAAACAGCCCTGTTGCTTCCGCCATCGATATCCTTTGATAGTCAATACCTGTCGTTTGATGGGGCAAGAAGGGCTTGCGGGAATTAGGGATTCCACCTACTCCGCAGTTTCCGAAATAAAACTCCCAATAGTAGGTAGAGAGTTGCTAATTGAAGGCACGCTGCCCAAAAGTGTATTTGCATATTGCACTCTAGTGAATGGGATCGATCGTCCAGTATAGGTTATCGTGTAGTGAAAAAGGGTACGTGTGGGAACACAAGCTGTCAGTAAATCATAGAACGCTATTTAAACTCCTCCTCAGTCATAGATTACACATATGGAAATCTAGATGAGCTAGCAATACAGCAATATGCAATAAGCAAGACAGATCGATTATCAAAAAGACAGTCTAGACTGCAATGTAACCTAGATATAAGGTTAATAGCCAGCAGATCGATACTACGTTACCGTTACCCACCGTATTACCGTTGCTATTGCAACCATAGCTCTCGGAGATGTGACCATAGTTCCTCCGCAGACAATATGAACTTCTCTGTTAGCTGACCCGAATCTAAGAAGTATTAATATCGGGCTAGCATTTAGTGGATAAATCTATTGCAAGTGCCATCAGTACACCTAGATTTGTGCCTTGTGTCCCCAATCGAATGATGTTCGTCAACACAGAAGCCCACTTCTCCAAAAGGCAATCAGTCGAGAGCAAGGTGGTAGTGGATCACGAACATATCGCTTCCCAAATCCTCCTCAGCCTTGCCAATACCCGTTATGCCTGCGTGGATTGTGTGCCTTTGGAAGGGGGTGCGATAAACTACATATATCGGGCGACTCTTAGCTGCCCCCTTCATGACCAAAATGAAACGGTTGTTTTGAAGCATGGACTTGGGCATGCGGCTAATATTCGTGATTTACAGACACCCGTGATTCGATGCGTGAGATATCACCCATGTCTCCATCTTCGTTCTTGCCGTTTTGACCCTTTCTTTCCATAGTTCGCTGAAGCAGCACTTGTCAAAGCCCTCAATAGCCTTGACTCTGGTAATACCAGTTCCAACGGAATAATGGTACGAACACCTCGCCTCTATGACTTCGTAAACGATCCATGTATTCTTGTTTTCGAGGACTTCAGCGGATCCATGACTTTGCAAGATTTCTTCAACGACCGGCCTGAAGGATACAATGCGGACATTGCAACCGCGATTGGCAATTCCCTTGGCAAATGGCTGTCGTGGTTCCATACTGAACCACAATTTGCAACAACCGAAGAATTGGCGATGACTGTCAAGATGAACAGCAATGCTATAAGAAAAAGGTTGATGTCATGGTACCTGAAGAACTTCTTTGATAAAGTACAGGCATCACAGGCACTGCCAGCTGACAGCCTCATGCGACTCGTGGCACATGCCAAGGCTTTCCTGTCAAAAGAATTGGACAAACAGAGCGGGAATAACTCAGGCTTCATCCACGGGGATTACTCGCCAAGAAAGTATGGATTTCCCTCTCCTATCTAATCGTCCCGCTTCTGACATATGTACAGCACCCTCATACAGTACACCGCAGAAAATTCGAATGATATTACTCTCTGTGTTGTTGACTGGGAGACATGCCAGTTCGGTAGCTATATGCAGGACATCGCTCGCTTCATAGCGGATATATATGTTCTATCCCATTTTAATGGGAATGAGTTCAGCGTGCAGCTTATGGATGGTATAATGAAGGGTTATAGGCGACTAAATGAAGAAGAACTCTTTCAACTCGCAGCCTATATTGGCATACTTCTTCTGAATTGGGAGTTTGTGATTGTGGACGACGGCCCTGGTGGAGACGAGTTGAAGATGACGATCGCCGCATTTGCGGCAAATGTCTTTTTGAAAGCTTGCGAAAAGGATAGAGAATGGTTCACAAATGGCGATCTGAGATGTCTGTTCAACTAACATCTATTCTTGCTTTCTTGGAAACTCATCCTACCTCTCACTTCCAGCTTTATATCAAATTCAAGTTGGGTCGGATGAAATTCATCTGCTTGTTTTGTTTTGGCATATTAGCAGATGTCTACGTATTGAACTTAAGCGCCAAAAGAAAGTTCCTATCCACCAGATAATGCGTACTGGTGCATTTCGACCCTCTTCTGGTCGAGAATATCTGCAGCGACAATACTGGGATTGGTTTGCACTTTGCCATGGTCGCATTGCAACAAAAGGCTCTCAGTATGTCTTTAGTAACATTGGAATTTTGATCTCAATAGTATGACCCGTATATTCTTACAAGAGACTTGTCAACAGGAAAGCTTTGTGCGCCGAATAAAGAACATCATTATGTCAGCAAGACCAGACAATCCAGGAAAATACGCGAAGAAGCACATTCATCCGCCTTGAAATCACAAATGCGCATTCCTGAACATCCCGGTGCCGAGAATATAATTCATATGGCCCTCCGTCTGCTGTTTTGAATAAGACAAAGCCCTGCAGGTCTTCCTTGGGGCTAAATCCTCGTAGTGCGACCGTCCTATGCTCAGAAAAGGAGTATGATGTACCAAAAACCTTGAACACCTTATTAATCCAATGCTGCCCCTCGTAATGCCAGCTTTCATACAACCAGGCGACACGAGGGGTCCAAGGAAGCTTCCTCAAGGCAACGATGGCATCGTATAGTTCCTTCATCGAGATCCTCCCGACTTTGCCACTTACCGCGTGAACACAACCCGTGGTTCCGTGCGCTAAGTGAACGAGCAGACGGTCGACAACAACGTCAACCGGTACTTCGTCTATGGTCGCGTGATTTGCGGGATCGTGCATGGTACTGGCAAATTGTGATTCAACGGCTGGAACATTTGCCAGCGCAGCCGCGACGACGGTAATTGGTGACGATGTAGGGACATTGTAGCCAGTAAATGGGAAGTACTCTGCGGGCCCAATGATTGATGGACGCACAATGAGTAGTTGGTCGTATCTCTCTGCTTCTGTGAACATGGCCATTATCAGTCTCTCTGACAGGTGTTTGGCATAGCCATATGCCCAGGGGAAATCATTGACGCTGTATTCAGAAGTAGTTCCCAAGGCTTGCAATTCCTTATATTCTTCCGAGACCGGGCGAGAGGCCTCATTGGAGAGAGGATATATTCGCTCTTCGACGGCCACGTCCTCCTCGGATGACAACATGTGCAGGTGAGAATTCGCGTACGCTGTCGAGACATAAACAAATCGACTCAAGTTGTAGCATTGCAGGCCGAACCTGGCAACTGCCTCCGACGGCTGGATTATTTGTTTACAGGCTTTCGGAAGAGTCTGCGTCAGATTGATTGACGACGCTGCATGTATCATAATGTTCACTTCATCGCGTAGCAGGTTTATTTGATCATGGGTCAAGGCAAAATCAGGCTCGGATATGTCTCCATTCAGCACTGTTAGGCGATGATGCTGAAGCAGCCAGCTTACAGTTGCGGTCGGCACGGATTCACCCCACTTTTGCCTGCCTCGACTAATGAAGGAATAGTCAGTACTTGAACGTCACAAAAATATCTCTCAATCCACACGTTGCCGATTACCTTTGGCCTCCGCGAAGGAGAAGGTATATGCGCTTGCATTTCGCATCCGACAACAGACGCAGCAGCACCGCCGTTCCCAAAAAGCCAGTGCCTCCGGTGAGGAAGACCGTCTTCTTGTCGTAGTATTCCCACATGTTAGCAAATAATGGGGTTTTACGGTTTCTGAGACTTAAGGGGATCAGCAAAATATCGGAAATATCTGGGAGCCTTGTCATGACATAAACTTTACCCCTGTACCTTACAGTGTTTGAATTTATATGGCCTCGACAATACGAACTCACCCGCCTGGTGTCTCTGAGCTCGTTATCTGGTTTGAATTGATGATTTCGGTAGGGGGAACTTTAGGGTACAAGCCATTCCAATATTGTCAGGTAGTATTAAAGCAGGTCGAGGCGGAGGACATAGCAAAGACCCACACCAAGACGGAGATCGTTACACAGAAATACTACCACTACCACCTGAGCTAAGCGTGGGTACTGGCATCCACGACGAGTCAGTGTGTAAGAGGCGCTATGGTTTCGCCGGTCTTAGCCGCGCATCGCATTTGGCTGACTAATCGGCATTTTTGTCCTCGGTGGACTTCGTTTTCTCAGGATGTTTTCCCGTTATCTTGGTCACGTCAATGGTTTCAGTTACATATGGCCAATTTCTTAGAACCTAGACTGTAACGCTAGTAAGTATTACTCTTGAAGTAGTACCCTGAATGGTCTTCGTCTGGCCATAATGGATACGAATAAGGTGGTACGTACTGGTAGCATAATGTCCCGGCCCCGGTGGATACTCCTAGTGATAGTAGTAGTCCGCGGAGTGGGGCTGGTAGCGACATGAGAGTGCACTCCATGATGATGTTGCAAGAGCTTCTTCGATTAAGTTTCCTTCGTATCATCATTTGGCAAACAAGTTGACGACCAAAGGATCTGGAGGTGAAGTCAGACAGGGTGGAATTTTCAGATAGCGCAACGGGAGTTTGGCGACACTAAACCACTAATGAATCTGCGCCACCGACACTATGAGTATATACACGATTTTGAGGGGCTTTTTATATAAATACGCTCCGAGAAAATCTCTATGCTTCTAAGTGTAGACAGTATTATACTGAATTGTATTACAATCGTCATTCCAGATTTGTGCTCGGTTGCTGTTTCATTAATAGTAGTACATACTACGAACTACCAAGAGTTCTACGGAATATATATCGTGCTCTGATGGCATGAATCGTAGTCCTAGCAGAGTAAATGTCTACTACACTATAACTTCCTCAGCATTGAAATCATATTATAGTGACTGTTGAAACTGTCTTCGTTTAGCCTAGAGATTATTCATTCAGCATAACCTGATAGATCAACTTATAGAAGCCATGCATTTGGATTGTTGGAGCTACTGTATGTTACTGCCAAGCCCTGTGGGCCTCGCGGGTGTGGCCCTTCCATATCTTATCATTTCATTTGATCGACTTGGTTACACAGTCGACCTAGCGGTCCGGGCCGTGAGTGCCCTAGTTCTGTGTGACCCAGACATGGCAATCATGATTATGAGTTCATCGTCCCTGAACCTTGATTCGAAACCAAACCCGCAACCCTGAAGAACAATCAAACACCCACACAAACCCAATACCCCAACCACAGATTCGCACAGGATGAACCCACGTACGGATTCCACGTATTAAACTGACCCGCAGTAATACCTGCGTCCTGCTCTATCGACCAACAATTGTCGCCGTCAGCTACCAAATGCCACTTATTGCATATATTGATCGTGTCTGGCATTGGCGCCTGCTTCTGTGTGGCAACACAGTAATAGTAACCTGGTTGCAGGTTAATACAGTCTGATCCGACAGCGGGATTCCATTCTTCGAAGAGGGAGGTGGTCAGGTAGGTGTATTTGTTGTTGACGATAGACCAGCAGCTGTCGCCGGATTTGGCTTGGTAGTAGGTTGAACAGTCATCTACTAGGCCCGACTGGGTAGGAGATGGAGCGCTGCTAATAGGTGTGGTACTGCTAGCTGTTGATGTGAATGTGGAGGTAGGCGTTGTGGTGGTTGCGGAGGTACCGCCTGGAGTTCATCAGTTTGCCTTGAAGAGAACAGGTTATAGAGGCGGGGAGGATACTCACCAGAGATACCAACGCAGACCCAGTAGTCAGCTTCAAGGTTACTACACGTTGCTCCTACAGCTGGGTTCCAAGAGTAGAAATCGCTTAGGCTGATGTCGTAATTGATAGCAATGTCAGAGCAAGTATCGCCGTGTTTAACATAGTATTATTTATTGCCTGCCGTGAATTAGTTGAAGTCGGGTGGCGATGATGAAGGAAGGGGTTTATACAGTTTGATGCGATTCCCGTCTGCTCAGGTAAGTAAGACCCAGTAGTAGTAACCGCTGAAGCAGTATTGGTAGCAGGAAGTGTAGTCTGCGACACCAGAGTGGTGGACCCGGTGACACCGATGCAGACGTAATAGTCTGGCTGTAGGCCGGAGCAGTCGGACTTGACGGCCCTGTGCATCGTTTTAGCCGTTGAAAAAGTCTCAATCAAGTGGTACGCTCTTACGGGTTCCAGGAGTAAAACTGGTTGAGCGTAAAATTGCCCAGCAAGAATCGCCCGTTTTGACGTAATAGAATGCATCACAGCTGGAGCTCACGCCGCTTTGAGTCGGGGAAGGGCTACTCGCACTGGTAGTTATGCCTGACGTAGAAGTCGCCGTTGTAGTAGGCAGGAGCGTGGATAATATTGTGGACACAGTGCTGGTGGATGAGGGTGTGGTTGATACAGCTGGTGCACTAACACAGTAACTCCAGCCTTCTTTGAGGGCACATTTAGTGATTGAGAGAGAAGGGTTCTGTAATCCATTAGCCTTGGCCATCTTCATGATAGGAAGGAGCTCATCTTACCCAGAAAGTTAGCTGTGTAGCCGTGATTCCATAGTAGCTCTCAAGGTCCGCACAAGTATCTGTTGAGCCAATAGACTTCGCCCAGTATATACATGCACTGGCCACATTGGGGTCAGTATTACCAGTTGGGAAGTCACCATTGTCAAATCTCTTGTTGATGGCAAAACCATGGACGGATGCGAATATGGCAAGGGTAAAACAAAGAGTGGAAATCATTCTGTCCAAACAATTGAAGCTACTCGATTACTTATCTTTCGTTTGTAGGAGTAGGAAGGGGGACCGAATTATAGACCTAGGGGGCCATGGCCGGCGGTGTTACATATATCTCAGTCTTACTCCAATGCCGGCTGTCCGTGGCTGACAATTATCAAGATAACTTGGATAGGTGTTTAATTGCTACATATTGCCCACCTGCATTACCTGCATCAGTTCGCTTAGTGCTACTACCTCGCTACCTTGCTCGGCTTTCCGGCAGCTCCCGCAGAGCCGAATCTACCCCGTGGCCACCGTGTCCTTCATCTACGGATAGGGCTCAATAATCATACGATACTATGTGTTTCCGAAGTAAGCACTTGAATAGGGGGCTTAGCACCAAGAGATTATCTACCTTTATTCCTTACAATTATTCAGGTAATCACTAGATCTTCTCCCATTATGTGTCCTTTCTACAAAATCTCTTTACTTCTCATCAACCATCCTGAGAATCTAGATAAGTTCTGTATACATAAAATTAAACCCTCCTTGCCCTTGTTGCTGAGTTATTCTTGCGGTTATTAGGACACGTAGAATCTACCATACTCGCTGTTTCTCCAATACTCTCGTTCGAGTTCCGAATCGTAGTCACCGTCAGAGTCTTCGTAACTATCATTAGCTACAGCGCTAGCCCACAAGCTCTCTGGCTCTGGCATTATAGTTCCAGAATTATCAATAATTCCCTGACTGCGATATTGGACATCCCACATGGATCCATCCCGGGGCCTGGGATTATTAGGGTCCCATCGAAAGGCGTGCCACATGTTGACAACTTTTCCGTCATGTAGGTCTCGTTCTGCGAAAGGCGTCAAAATCGACACAGCCTCGGTAAAGTTCCGTTCAGTAGCAAGGTCCAAGTCTCGTGGGCCGGGAAGGAAGCCTTTGTCGAGGAGGAGCCTCAGGATGTCAAGCCGCTCATACAATATAGCAATAGCAACGGCGCTATACTCAGTACCGAAAAAGAAACCAGGCGGCGGATACAGCTCACAACATACATCCTTGATGGCCCCATTATTGATAAGCAGTTCAGTCATTTCGTAGTGGCCGTCCCGAATAGCTGTGAACAGGGCTGCCGAACCGTAATTCACGAGGTCCATGCCGTATGCGAGCAAGAGCTGAAGCGTATCGCGATCGTCTTCATGGGCAAGGTGACACACCGCATGATCCCCGTGTAGGCCAAGACCATGATCTAGCAACAGCCGTATAATATCAGGCTGCTTGGTGAAAATGGCCCGCTCGGTTGGGCACGGGTACTCATGAGGCCCCGGACGTGCGCCAAGAGCCAGAAGTCGGGGGAGGATGGCGTTGTAGCTGGCGGCCACGGCGACTCCGAGTGCAGATGGGGCGCCGCTTGATTCCGTTGCAGGATCCAAGGGGGCCTTGTGAGCAAACATTAGCTCGACTAGCTGTTCATCGTGCTGGCGCAGCGCCCAATGCAGGACCGACCGCAACTGTGCCGGCGATGCCGTTTGGCTCGACCGGGTCTCCCCAAGAAGTGTTTTAAGGATCGCTGTGTGGCCCCCCTGGGCTGCGTATAACAAAGCATTATTCTTGGCCCACGGATCGATGTCCCTATTGTACTTGACCTTCCTTTCCACATACCGGGGAGAGGGAGAATAGGCGGAAATGTTGGCCCCCGCAATGAGGAGCTTGGTTACCAAGCGAGTCTCTCCCTTTTGGGCAGCCCAAGGTAAGGCGGAGCTCTCATCATGTTGAACATTGTATTCGCAAAGAATAGGGTGCATCGCGTGATACAGGCGCTTATTCGTCTGCATCAAATGACTGATATCGCGTTGAGTGGTTAGGCATTCAGCCACCCAGCGTAAAAGTTCTAAAGGGAGGTTGCTAAGGGACGCCATCGTAGTAACAAGTTGTTTTGCAAAAAACTGGGGTGCCGGGTGGTGAGGAAGGGCCAACAGTCATTTAAAGAAGCGCCCGACCGATGGACTAGTTGCTGCCCACTAATCCACTAACTAACTAGTACGTCGATAGCTCACTAATTAACTAGCACAGAATCTAGTTACTCAGCCGGGCTATGTGGCCCTGACCAACCAACTAATTAGTTGACCACACGATTAACCCAACATCGTCACTCAGAATAATCTATAACCACATACTCTTGTTTACTTTCACTCCAAAAGATATCGTCCTGGAATCTTTCATGATTGTGGCCATTATATATGTCTCTACTCTCTACCCATGATAGGAATATACCTTCCGCTTTAAGAAGATTTTTGTATGGACCAGCTGGGATCATTAGGGTTGTCATCAATATTAATTAACTAGCTTGGATCTTCCGTCGGTTTAATTATGGTCATTAATGGTGGATGCATTGTAGATCCATGGTTGAAGATAGCAGCACGCCTTTCCCGTTAGGGCTAATATGAAGCATTAGGAGGAATATGCTTCTGAATGGAGCTAAATTAGGCGTTAATCCGTCAATGCTCATGCTATGTGGGGATTGTTTTCCCCTCAAGCTTATTCTTGGTCTGACCCACTGGTACTTCAGCTTGCCAAGCGAACCTCGTCTCCGCTCACCCCCGACCAACTTCCAAGGTTCTTGGCATTGTCTCCAACGATTCCACTCCGCCAGAAGGTCTTGGATTCTTATTTTTCTTTTATTCTCCTCTTTTTAATGACCATTTATCGACGCGCTCGTAGATCCGAACGTATATATTTACTGCCGAGCATGTATGATAATTTGGGAGAAATGCTGAAAAGGGTAAAGTGGAAAAATTCGAATCAGAAATATGATCAGCGGTCATAGCGCATTGCTCTTCGACCTGCGGAAACACAGATTTGGGGGGAAGAAAAAAATTGTGTCCAGCTGGTCATTCGGGATATACCAGCAATGCTGATCCAGGCTTGCTTCACTTACAGCATCCTCAATCACCAAGGAAAGTCTGCTGAAACATGTTGCTGGTAAAGGTTCAGTGTTGGCCTTCAGCGGAAATACCTACATCGAGCTAAGATCCTGTGTACGGCATAAGGTACCTCGACCATGCTCACAGTCCTGGAACATACCACTCAGAAGAAAAGCGATGTATATCAACTCAGGCTATGTCTATACACGCAATGACTCAAGAATCTGAGACGCGCATCGTTTCTCAAGACTTCTTTCGCATTTTAAGTCCTTTCATCAACCAGACCTTCTATAGCGGTCGGGCGATCCTCTGGATTCCACTGCAAGGCCAATCGCAACCATCTCAGAAACCCCTCGACATCCTCACCTTGGATTTCGGCGGCTAGCTTCTCGAATGACCGGTCAGGTATAGGTACTAGATTTTTTCAGTTCCCTGATTCATCCCAGAAAACCCAGCTCATGTTCGCTCTTTTCACGAATTCGGGTGATGGGGGCCCAAGCAATGCTACAAGTTCTGCAATATGAGCTCCGTCGTCCCAAGTGTCGTCTACAATCTTGCCATCGATGATCGTCTTGGGGCTGACAATGTCCCAGGCCTTCCAAAATGGGTAAGTATATGTGAGAGCCAAATAAAGAATGGGGTAGTTACTCACCACCATTCCAACACTCCAAATATCCACCTTATAATCCCAATTGGATTTGAGGATCACTTCAGGGGCGCGATAGTAGTCCGGCATGATATTATCACACTGTTCCTCTTCAGCAAAGCGGGCCTCGCCCAAGTCACCGAGAAGAGGAAGACCATCTCCGGCAGGAAAAGGTGAGCTCGTATAGATCGTTCGATCTTGTAGAACCTTCCTCGGAGCTGGCTTGGAAGAGATTTGCTCTTCGAGTTCAGACAGCACCTCGGGCGAAGGTGCAGGGAGGAGGAGATTCCTAAGTTGTAAATCTTTAGTTGGGATTAGATTTGCGGGATAGTCTAGACGGAATAGGCAGTTCTTACCTGTGTGTATGACGTGTGCCACGGAGTGTAGAAAATCTAGGGCACCGAGAAGTTGGCGAATGGCCGGTTTCATTCCTTCGAGGGTCATTCGGTGGCCATTTTTGAGCTGCAGGAGATCGGATGTATTCATCCCAAGAGCTTGGTGGACCAGACAAAGATGGCGGCCTTGAGTGTTAATTATGTAAAAATAGTCTAGTAGCTTGCGGATATACTTCTTGCCAGGATGGTCTGTGTCGATAGAGTTGATGTGTTTATAGACGTTGAGTTCATGGTCTCTCCCTTGGCCGGAGACATATATCTTTAGGATGACATTCGTAGATTCACTGGTTGCTCAGCACTGATAATCTGTAGAGATAAATGGGAAAACATACGCCAAGTCACGAGCGAACCAAACAGTAGAAGTCACCCCGAACCCTACTTTAGCGATGGCTTGGTATCTGTCGTTGAATATTTCTCCCTGCCGGACAGGATAGTATTTTTCGGGAAAATATGTTGGCAGTCTTTCTTCCTCAATCTTAATTCCCGGGTCAAGAAGCTGAAATTCCGAAGTCGGAAATATCCGCGGGGAGCATTTCCATTTTGGTGATGACATAGCTGTGCTAGAGCGTGATCGGGTGTGGGGATAGGGGACCAAGGGGGTTATTCTGGTGGAAGTAAGGATTGAGAAACGCGATCGAGTCAAGACACGGGAAACGTATCCTGGGCAAATGTTCCAAGGGTTTATCATAGTTACAGAGTTAAATAAAGGGCCACTAGCAGCTGTGCTTTACTAAGGAAACGGAAATAACATTTAGAGCCATGGGCGAGTCCGCCGTGAGCCAACATGCTATGGTGTTGGCGGCTAGTTCGCCACGTGATTGCGCCGCCATCACCTGACTGCTCGCTGGGGCTTGCAGACGAAAAAGAAATGCTCAAATCTTTAAGAGATACTCTATATAGATATGCCCGAGCTGTATCCGACGAGCTTCTGGGAAGAACCGTGCGCTTTTGTGTGTACTCATGGGACGGGTAGTGAGTGACTACTTTGTAGGGCAATAGAAGGGTAGCTGGCGCGGTAGTAGGGAACTAAGTTAGTCACCCCATTCGCCCTTCCAGGCAGGCTACTGTTAAGGAATAGCAACTGTCAATATGAGGTTTAAAAAGACTCAGTGCCAGTTCTTTTGGGTCAAATGGCATGCATGAATGAAATTTTATCAGTCCCTAGGCCTCCACGGTCGCAGTTCAGGACTTCGAGAATTGCCGACACACTCAACTTTATATATAAATAACGCCGATTTGTTTAGTTTATTCAGCTAACTTATATTGTTCTTCTCCATCAAGAAATCTCGCTACGTGAGTTTTGCCTACGTCATCACGGCCACCAAAGTAGACAGTAGTCACTCAAATTGGCCCTTGGCTTAGAATAAATCTTTCCCTGAACCATGAAGCACATCTGGCCATAATCTACTTAATGTGAGACCCGGGTCATCCCATTTCCAGAGCACGTGACCTTTCAACCTCCAAGCATTGCTTATGGCAACTTCCGGAGATATAAATCAAGAAATAGAACTTACTAGGAGGTAAGACGAGACAGGCCGAGAGGCCCATGGGAAGGGCCGGATTACTAGGAAGAAAGTTAGCGAGGGAAATAGCTGAAATAGAAAGAACCTGCCGAACGGGTATTGAGTCCCAAAGATATATAAAGTGGCTCGATCCAAGAGGAGAAGATACTAGTTTTCCTTTCTTTCTCCAGAATTGTTATTCTTTGTGAAAGACACAGACTTTTTTTTGGCCTGTTTAGTCAGCATATTCTTCAGGCTGTCACACTCAATGGATCCTTGGACCGCAGCGAGTATGATAGGATGGAAGGTATCCAATGATGAGTGAGCGCAACGTATTCTAATTCACGCTCTCAAATGCTTGATGATACCATACAGAATGTATAAAGAGCGAGCTGCCATTGTTACAAGGTCATGAGAGTACGCTGCCTTGCCGTTCTCTGATAGTCCTTGTAAGAAGGACGAGGGGGACAAAAAAGTTCTTGGAAGGGTAAAAAAGGATGACCAATGCAGGGATCGAACCTGCGACCTTCTGTGTTCACATTTATGTAACAATTATGTTGCTTATGTAAGACAGACGCCATAACCACTAGGCCAATTGGTCCATTTCTTATAGAATTGTAAGAGTTCTTAACCTACAAAAGCAGTGGCAAACAAGGTAGGGAAATCGGTACGGACGAGTGCGACCCAAACTCCCGCGAGGGTAGTATAAGCGCTGACTCGGTGCAAGGAGAAGCCGCCCGAACAAAACAAGAATTGAATAATCAATCCCAAAGCTAGAATTACCCGAGCAACAAACTAGCCTCCTGAAAGCTACATACTAAGATTTCGACTTGGTAGATGGCGTAAGAAAGTGCGGTATTCCTGTATGTCCTTTGAGACACACCTGGCTCGAGATATTGCATCTACCACTCAGAAACTATAAGTCCAATCCGACCTTACAAATATTGTACTCCCAAAATGCACACAGAAATTCGTCTCCGATGCTGCGGGCGAGCTGGAGGCTCTAAAGCAGCAAATTGAGAGTAGGCCCAAACACACATGGGTAATTGACACAGAGGTTTACGCTCGGAAAGGAGGCATGTATCCTATCCACTTTCAGATTGCTGATTAATAACTAGACGGGAAGTTATTACTCAGACGTTTAGGGACCATGTCACACAATGGGGAACAATGGAGAGGTGTATGCCGATCTTGTTCTGGCGGTATAATGGCGACAACCGCTGCAACAGTGGTAAGGGTTGTCCTCGGAGTAAGAGTGTCTGGCTATAATCAAAGGCACCTTTACTGGTCGCTATATCATGTAGGTGGCCAAGGAGTCATGTAAACAGTCGGTGCTGTTGTGGACGTTCTAGTTCTTGTTGAGAGTTGACCCGGATGGAAGGCTCGATAGAATTGAGGTCTCCAACGTTACAGATAAGCGCTTTCTGACCGCTGGGCGCGCTACTGGCCGGGTAGGCTCTTCCAGAAGGGTAGAAACCAAATTATCCAATTGCAATGATGAGCTAGTCACCATCCCTACATCGGCAGACAACATTGATGTTGTAGTAGAGCCAATAATCTGAACGATAATCCCACATACCCCACACGCGCAATCATCAGATGTCTAACCCTGATGTCATAGAGCCAGATGATGTATAGCAAATAGCTACATAAAGAAAAGAAGTGTCCTGAACAAGGCCTAGACTTGAGGGAGCATCAACTGTTCTGTGTAGCCCATGAAGGTTCAGACACATTACACCCATGGGCTACACTCATGGATGTTGGCTAAACCGGGCCTGGCGTACTAGCTTTAATGGTATACCACATACTCTGACAGCTAGCATTGTTCCCTATTAGGTAGGCGCAACCCCGGGGGCTATGTTAATCTGCGTGTATTTGATTATAGCCTGGGAAATTTTGCGAGGGATATAGCAGAAGACAATTTGGTACCATCAACTTTCCAAGTGTAGTCTGTCATTCCAGCATCATGTTTGAATTACTAGACTAAGATACGGGAACACATAGGCGGTAACCACGACGTATGACAGTACAAACAATGAGGCAAGATAACTGCAATCATAATTCACACGTATGACGCAGGTGTGCCATTCCTACAGGAAAGAAAAGAATGAAGAAAGAAACCGAGAGTCGAACCCCCGCCTACGGTCCCCAAAAAATCTAGCTTCCCGATGTGTCTGTCTAAGGTGACGGTCCATCGCCATACCCAGGCCACTGGACTATATCTCTGATTATATACTATTTCAGTGGAACATAGCCTATTACCGGTCTGGATTCACATAGTATGGCCGTGAAGATAAGGTATTGCTTGTCTTGAGTACGGTTTGATACTATCTTGAGCCCAGGCTCTCAGGAGATGAGATGCTGTTGATCGCTCGTCGTATGTGAAAGTAGTAATTGCAGTAGCCTTGAGCCCTTCAATGCTTACGTTACATTAATCAAAAATGAGGCTACCTATATGGGGACCTTATATTGGTGCGTGAGGGCTTGCCTACGGCAGTAGAATACTACCAAGACGAGGTTATATTGATTATCCAATGGCCAAGTGAATGCGTGAAGACAGTGTCTTTTATATGTGGAGATAACTTACATGCAGGTGTTGGTATTCACTTTTAAGAGAGTGGTAGCTTATTTAATTCTTATATTGGGCAGAATCAGTCCATATTATGCGAGCGTGTACTATAATTTACCTTATAAGTAGCCCGGACATTGGCCATCTTCATGATCCCTTATCCTCTTTCACAAGTACTGGCCCTTTTCTTCCGCCAAACCGAACTCTTAAGTACTAAGCTTGATGAACAGGTTGAGTAGAGCGATCTTGCTAATATTAAACTTAAATAGAAGAGAGGTCACCCTGCCCCGTTCTTACTCCCTCGCGCGCCGGTCTCAGGTTAACTGACCGATTAGCTGATAGTACTCAACCTATCATCAAAGAACAGCAATAATCTCCAAGTGGAGTACAGTCTTCCCTGAAATGTTATGCCCTCAATAAGCCGCACTTGCAAGTGTTATGGGCCCCAGCATGTACTACTGTCACAGTAGCACTTGTGATAGTTCTAATGATAGGTATATTGCATATTTGATATCGAGGAAATATATGGTTATTTTAAGCATAAGCAGGGCGACGATAAGAACAAAAACTGTTGTTGCCTAAACAGATGGCCGCGCTTGATGACTCATCATGCGCACAGCCTTATCGTTAATGCCATGTGCTCAGCCAATAATGCAATGACACAGTTTCACCATGACTGGACGATCAAACATAATAGCAGACCGTCTTATCTAAGCTTCAGCCTCTTTGATGTTACATGTATTCTTCATTGCTTGCCAACCTAATTTAATAACAACACTGCCCCCACTTGAACCCTTATGCCCTCAGACCAACAAAATGGCATCCTGCACAACCATCCCTGTGACAATCTCAAAGAATAGCCATGATGGCCTACTACCAAAGGCCACGGCTAAAACCATCATCAGCACATTCCTGCCCCGCGAATGGCCGCATGTGGACCCAGACACCCTCACAGTGACACGCACCACCGGATACGCAAATACAAACTGTATAGTGGAGCGACCGAACACACCGGGCAATACAACATACTTGGAGCCATTGAAGGTATTCATTAAGATCCACGGTGAATTTGACGGGGAAATCGAAGTCTTCGAACATCTAGTTCCCTCCAAGCACGAAGAAGCGCAATTAAGCTACGAGTACGGCCAATCTGGCCATGGCGCAAATGTGCTTGGCTTTTTCCAAAGTGAGAATGGCATCTTTGGAAGGGTTGATGAGTACTTGGATGCACGTACCTTGGTACCACAAGACGTTGAAAATACCGAGATCCGCGCCGAGGTTGCGAGAGCTCTTGCCACCTTCCATACTATGAAAACGACCTTACTGAGGAAAAGTTCAGTCCAAACGTACTATGATACTGTCACCAGGGAGCTTGACAAGTATCATGGGAAGGATAAGTTGAGGAGACTAGCTCATGAAGGGGGTGTCTGTTTGGACCACCTCGTGGATTATGACTTTGTGTCTAGACTCCGAAGGGTTATAGATAAACTGGAATCCATCGGAGCGAAGGAGGGCTGGTGCATCCATGATTTCCAATTCATGAACGTCTTGGTGAGGAACGATCCCAAAGTGGGAGAAGGCAAAGTGGTTCTTATCGACTTCGAATTCGTCTTTCGCAACTACCGGGCGTTCGATATCGGTGCACACTTCCTGCAAAAGATGTTCCAGTGGTTCAACGAGGAGAGCCAGATAGCGGATTGTCGACCTTACTCAGAGGAGGAAAAGAGGCACTTTTGTGCAGAGTATGCAAGCCAGTGGAATGAGAAAACAGGTGACTCGGATACAAGAGAGGAGGTCTTTGAGGAGGCTGAGCTCGGGTATATGCTGGCTATTACATTCGAAATCCACAATATGCTTTGCTTCATGGATCAGGATGATGACAAAGATCCGTTGAATCTTCTGTCGCTTGACAAGCTTTATAAAGAGTTCACCGACCAATATGCGAAGCTCGGGTTGGGACGCTGAACAGTGTATGCTAGCGTGATACTGAGGTTTTACTTAGCTGCCGCTTAAGGCGTCTACACTAAGCCTTATGAGATCCTCCTTGACAATACGCCCTTAAGTGTGTTTGGTGGATTATTCTATTCGACGGCGTCATGCAAGTGTCAACTGCAGGGCGTACGAGCCACATGGCCGATTGGAGGCGAACAGCCCACCCAAGTCTGCATTACAAATCAGACACATATGGCAGTCTCACTACGTACCTACTGGCCATTGATTTGTATGCCTCATTGTTTCAGATAGGCCAAGTATCAATTATGACAGAATACTCTTACATATCAACAGTCACATGTAATACTAGATCCCTCCGACAGAGGAGACATGGCTTGATTGCATTATTAAATCTCATTCACGCGAAAGCTACCCACCATGCATGTACGCCTGCAATTAAACAGCCAGGTTATCCCTACTCCGCATCTCCTCAACCAATTCAGCATAATCACCATCCCCTTGCTTCGCCAACTCCTCGAACTTCGGAGCATTAGACTTGAGCCAACTACCAACCTCTCCAGCATATAATTAACACCCGATTAGCCTAATCCCAACAAAGACTGCTTTCCACACTTAAAGCCAACGTCTGCATGATCAAACAATAGTATCTGTACCCGCGGCAACAGAAACCCGCTCTCCGTGCCTGTCGTGATTGCACCCAACACAAACACGGCATTCAGTTGTCTCTCCTTGTAACCCTTCCCGTTCTTATTCACGACCTTACCCCAAGCCTCCGAGAGACGCTGTGCAAGGTCATCAAAGTCGGCCATTGTTCGTATCCCACCCGCCCGAACATATGCCATGATGCGGTTGATGGCACGCTGCATTTAAGTAGAGATATCAAGTGACCCTACTTCTCTAGTAAAGAAGAACTGCTAGTTACTCACCTCCTTGCCAGCCACATAATTATGCTGGCTATTGGCATCTGTGAAGCGGACATTCACGAACAAGCTAGGAGTGGCAAACTTGTGAGTGTGGATGTGGGTGATGGCCTGGACAAGTTCATCACGCTGTAATTTGTTCAGGAGGATGCTGTGATCGATTTCATACAATGGCATTTTGCTGGGACTGCTGCTTGGTGGCGTCTATTAAAGGAATTTGGTAGTCTGTAATAGCGCTGGCTGTGGAGGTGTGATTATTGTAGGTTTGATTCACATAGAGTGCGCAGGGAACCTTAGGTATTCGGACTCCCCGCATGGCCCCTCACTTGGACAGGGCACTGCATGTCTGCTTCTTTCGGCCGATTCGACGCTGCGTTGTACAGCACGGGTTGGTGATCACATAGTCTATAGGTTCTTGGCGGGTGTAATTGTCAGAGTGGGGGGAGCTTGTCGAGGTCTCATGAAGAAATACTGTTACAAAGGTTCCTTACCATTACTTGGCTGCGTAACTGGGAATCGCACTTTCCAAATTGCTTCTAAAAGGGTAAGTCATCAGAGTTGATGGTGCAGTAACTTCAAATAAAATAAATGAACCCCGATGTTGTCTGATCATTCGCGATAGACTGGGGTCTTCACCCGCATATGGCAGAGCACGCCTCGTTGTTCCCTTGGCTACGAATCAACGTCTCTTAGTCTTAACATACACATCCTGATAGCGATACCATCATAAACACTGTGACCCTTACTGCGGCTACTAGCAAGTATCCTAGTGTATAGGACAGACGAACTACCTATAGAGACATGTCCCAAAGATATGAGGTAGAATAACTATAAACTAAAGAAAGACTTCATCAATCTGAATCCTCTGAGTCACTATCTTCCGTGTAAACAGCCTGCGCATTATGACCTCCCACGAACACTTCAATATCCCCCATGAGCATCTTCATACCCTCTTCATTACCAATGCTCTCCGCGACCTGTAAGGCCGTCCCAAACTCTACTCCCTCGGCATCAACATCCGCATCCCATTTTAGGAGTATTCTCGCAACGCAGCGATGACATTCCCAACTGCAGGGCGTTTTGAACCTAGCCTGCCAGCAAGTTCTATCCCACTTCTGTGCCATCACCGCTACAAGTGGCGTACCATAACTCCCACCTCGAACATTAATATCTGCCCCTGCAGAAAGCAACAACTGCACTGTTTTCCAGGACCCAGAGACGGCTGCTGCATGTAACGCTGTTCCATGCTCACCTCCCATGGGATGAACATCAGCACCATGCGAGATAAGAACATCGGCTCCTTTGCTGTCCTTCTTCATGGCGGCAATGTACAATAGCGTTTCTCCCGTTTCGGGGTCCCTAGTGTTTGGGGATACCCCTTGCTGTAACAAATACTCGATCATGGGTTTCGTGCTAAAGGGGAAACAGTGTTTGATAAGGCGAGAGCATATGGCTATTCGCTCGGATGGATTTTCAAAATGCGAGTCAACAATTAGTCGTGCGCAGGCGACATTGTTGCGCCTGATGGCGGCTTTTAACGCTGCTTCAACGGTTGAAGAACCGTGTGTCGCGTACTGGAGCAAAACAGAGACGATCTCGGTATATTCTTCTCTCGATGCAATGACTAAGGGCTCTCTATCGTCATCTCCATCGCCGCTTCTGCTGAAGGATAATGGAGTCTTGAGCTTCATCAGTGCCTCGACAGGGGATACGTTGTTCCGCACCTCTTCAATAGCAGCAATAACGGCAGACTTGATATCCTCGGTTGAAGGGTCATATTTGTCAGCCACATAATGGATCCTATCAAGGTCGCCAGTTTCCGATGCCCAAATCAGGAACTGCGGATACAGTTCAGGGTCGTTCAGCACCTCATATTGATAGTGGTCCAATGCCTTCCAAGCATCAAGGCTTCCCCGTCGTACAACATCGGGGGCGATTTCTTTGATCTTGTTTGGTAGATCATTTGAGTCTGCCCCTGCACAAAGCAAGATCCGGAGTAATTCTATCCAACTTGGTGGGTTGAAACTCCACCAGGTATAACGATAATATTTAACCTTTTCGACTGCAATGTCAAGACAGTGATTGCCATGTTCGTCACGGGAGTCCTTGTCAGCCCCATGCTGAAGTAAAGCTTCGACAACGGCCCACCTGCCTTGCTTTGTAGCTACCAATATTGCATCTGGCCAATGCTCCAGACTACAATGCTCCAGTATTTGTGTCACAACCGCAGCGTATCCTTCTGCACAAGCATACTTGAACACACCATCAAGTTGTTCCGCTTTGAATCCTGCATGGAATGCTTCTTGAATCAGCATTGTTGAAATGGACTCCTTCTTACGAGCAAGGCTCGTCTCTACGGCAGAAATGAATGTGTCACGAGACACATATCCCCACGGGTCGCATAGAAATAGTCGCCTCGCAATCGACTCATGGCCCCAAAAGCATGCCGCGAACAAAGGGGTGCAATGTAGTCTGCTGAATTCGCATTCATCAGATGGGCCCGATCCCTTCTGCCGCAGCTTTCCTTTGGCATGAACTGTTGCTCCATTTCGGAGAAGAATTGCGACGGCAGACTCTTGTCCACGAGTGGAGGCGAGATGCAATGGTATTGCAATAACATCGTCATCACGCTCAACCTTGCCGCCTGATTCCGAGTCTCCGAGTCTTTCACTGGACGACTGAACGGAATTTCCATCAACTTTAGCTCCTTCTTGGAGCAGAAAGTTCATCATGTGCTCGTCCCCTTTTTCTGCAGCCAGGCAAAGCGCCGTTTGAGAATTGCCATCGGCTTCGTCCACTCCTATACCATTGTGAACTAGCAGCTTCACTATGTCAAGATGTCCGGCCAACGATGCAGCTTGCAGAGCGTTACCTATATTCCGTCCAGGCGACCTTACATCGGCTCCGCTGTCAAGTAACAACTTCACAATGTCAATGTGTCCTGCATTGCAAGCTACCTGGAGTGCATTTCCGTTCTCGCCTCCACGATCTTCAATTTTCGCTCCGCGCTCCAGTAAAAATCTGACTGTCTCAATATGCCCTCGCTCGGAAAAGACCTGTAAACAGGACCCAAACATGGCCCAATGTCTATCTATTCTTGCACCCCGGGACAAGAGCACATCTGCAATATCGAAGTGACCCCCTTCCAAAGCCGCCTGCAGTGGAGTTCCAAGTGTCTGTCGTACCGCATCAATATCGGCTCCACGATCTAAAAGACACTCCACCACAGCGAGATGTCCCCAAAAAGCCGCAATTTGTAGTGCGGTGTACGCACACCCTTTGTTATAATCATTGTCTTGATCATTCGCGTCACGAGCGTCGATAGTTGCCCCTTTAGCTAGGAGCAGTTTGACTAGTTTGACGTCGCCTCGTCTAGCAGCGACCTCTAGTGGACCTAAATCCGTAGGAATGTCCAGCTCCCCACACCCTTTTCTTGTGCCCGGTAACGCAATTCTCTCCGTCCAGTCGTCGAAGGCGCATAGATATGCCCTACCACGTCGATCTGGATTTAGCCTAGCACCAGCTACGAGAAGGATCTCAACAATCCTTTCATGGCCACCGTATACGGCAGCTTGCAGTGCGTCTCGATACCGGCCCTTGTGATTCAATGAAGCACCATGATCGATCAAAAGCCGAACGGCCTGCTCATGACCATTGAAGCAGGCAGCTTGTAGTGCATCTCTGAAGTGCCCTCAAAAGCATCATGTCTAGGTTCCCAGAAGAGGCGGCAGCTTGAAGTGGGTCACCTAACTCTTCATCTCTGAGATTGGGGTCAACTCCTCTATCAATGAAGTATCTCGCAATGTCAAGCTGATTAGCTACCGTGGCCGCCCGCAACGGGAAGCCAAAACGTCCGCGCGTGTTAAGATCTGCTCCGGCGTCGACAACCAACTGCACGAGGGCAAGTTTACGACCAGCGATGGCGGCAGTGAGGGCATTTACAAAGTAGCCTTTTTCTTCATTGACATCAGTGCAGCTCTGTAGTAACCGCTTTGCTTGCCTTGCTTTGCCACCGAAGAGGGCAACCTGGAGAGGGTCAGGGTGAATATCAGGGGTGAAGCTGCCAGCCTTGCCGGCTAAAAGGCGCTCCACTATTTCAGTGGATCCTTTGAAGCTGGCGGTCTCTAGCGCATCAGTGAACTGGGTTTGTGTGGCAAGATGGGGACCACTGTCAATCAGGATCTCGGCTATATCATCGTGGCCACTTGCTAGAGCAGCTTGGAGTGGACTTGAGTACACGCCTTGCTCAGTCGGAGGGGCAGAGACACCGCGGTCAAGCAGAATTCTGACAATGTCTTTATGGCCACCAAATGACGCTGCCTGGAGTGGACTTCCGTATTGATACCCGGGTCCGTTGACATCAGCGCCCAGTTGAAGTAGTTCCCGGACTACTTCAGTGTAGCCCCAGCGAGCAGCCAGATACACGCCTGAAGTTCCATGTCTATTGGTCTGGTTCACATCGATCATTTCGATGACCTCTGGACACTCTAGAACTTCGGAAAGACCAAAACAGCAAACTGTGAATAGGGCTGACGGTGGCGAAGCCAGGCACGCTTCGAGCTTCCTCTCAAGCGGGCTACTCCATTTATAACCCCGCTCGGCTGGAAGTTCGTCAAGACTTTCGGCCCAGTCTTCGAAGTGCTCTTCTTCAGTGAGAAATTCGACGATGAGTTTCTGAATCCCAAGTCTTTGGGATGATCCGCTGAGCTGCTCCACGTGGGCGGGCCAGTACTGGGTTGCATATCCTAGAAGGCCGTCCTCGCTGAATTCGCCCCAAAGGTAAGTGCCTAAGCATCTCTGGGCTATTGTTGAGTCGGCTTCAAGGATGGAGTTATCGGACAATGATTCAAGGAACCTGTGTATAAGCTATCAGCACAATATCTGTTCCACTCGTTTAGTCCAGAATCTTACTCTCGGACCGTGATATGGGCAAAGCGGAATGTGTCTGCCACATGATCGATGACAATCAGATTGCAGCAGTAATCTATGATAGATCCCGCTGACACTGATGTAGAGCCCATAGGGGACTTGCTGACTGCCGCCAGGAATTCAGAGACTGAAAGCTTTCTTTTTGCGCATAACAGCCACTGAAGACTGTGCAGAGCGACCGTCCTCGGACCTTTACCTAAGCCTTGGATCCGTTCGTAGATGACTTCGTAGGACTTATTCAACGTTGGGGGAAAAGATGTTATTGCTTGACGGATACTCTCAACATCTTTGATTCGATCAGTGTCACTGATACTTTCGAGTTGGAGCGTCACCCAGAGAAACCTGTCACAATTTAGCATCAAAGCCCTGTCATCACGATGGAAATATAGCTCTTCTCACATTCCTTGTGCACCTGCCACGAGCTTGTCTATAATCTCTTCCTCGAGCCGCTGCAACAACGGTATAGGGTCTTCGTGCATTTTCGACCATTTGTTTATGAAGGACTGGACTTCGGCCCGAATAAATTGGCTTATATCTTCTTCAGTAACCGTAGGTGTGATCTCAAAGATCTCTCCCCCCTCAAAATGAGCTGCTATGTCCATTTCATGGCGACTAGACACAAATATCTTAACAATATCTCGACACTGTCGTCGAATCTCTTTGAGAGCTTCAATAAGAATGCCACGTTGCTGCGAGCTGCACTCATCCAGTGCATCTATGACAATAGTAAGCGGCGTTCCTCGGCCAATCTCGCATATCAGCTCAACGCATTCTTCGACTGTTAGTGGTGCTGGCTTTTCTCCACTGCGGCTTGCTTCTGCTCGTCGTACTTGATAGGCTTCGACTGTTGGGAGCCTTATTGTCCTTTCGCCTTCGATCAGCGAGACCTGTTTGAGCAAGGATCGAAGTATTTCGCGTGCGTCGCTGCGTTCCGGCTCTGCGGGGCTTCGCGAGCAGAAGAAATGAGCAATCGGTGCTGGTTTGGATGTACCACTGCTCTGCTGGTGTAGATATTTGACTACAATGGCGCTGAGATTATAAGGCATCAGTAGGCATAACTATTCTCACTGCATTAGAAGCTTACGCCAACTTGGTTTTCCCACAACCCGCTTTACTCTCTGTCAGCTTATAACTGTAAATATACAATGTATGTCTGGGTGGGACTTACGGACTCCATGAAGCCAGAAAGATTCAGAACTACTCGAATCCTTCCAATTCACGAAGCATGGCTGCTTTAAAAGCCACTCCCCGGAACCCGGGAGTACAGATGCCAATGTTTCCCTGTAGTGTTGTTGTACGGAGATAGTCGAAAGCCACTGTAGGAGCTCGCTCCTCTCGTTTTCTGCTTAAAGTCAGTTCCGGTACATCATATGGTTTAGTAGCCATGGTACCTTTGAGCGCAATATGCAGATCGGACATCTCATCCGCAATTCTAACTATAGGTTGATCGAGGTCAGCCAGTGCTTCATCCAGTCGCGTCTGCATATTGTCGACACCGTTTGCGACAGAGGTCACAGTAAAGAGCATAGTCGAAATGCTTTGATCGATGTTTTGGATCCCTGAAGAAGAGTTAGCAGGTCGATGTGAGGTCACCTTGTAAGGACTCACGTTCGCTGTCAACTAGACCCTTCATAACTAGTACCTTCTGCTCCGCAGCCTCCATTTCTTTGACCGATTCTTGGAGAGACTGCCGAGAAGTCAGGTTCAACACACGTTCTATAATCGCATTGTCAACAGACAAGACCTGGGCTCTACCTCACAGAATGATTCCACCTACTCATGCGAGACCCATCATAGTGTTTCTTAGCCTTGCAAAGGAATCCCAGGACCGCCGAATACAGCTTCACCAGCTCCTCTTCTAACCCCACTTTCGCACCAGTCGTTCCGCTACGATGCCGGATGACCAGGGCTTCAATAATCCCGCATCGGGCTATCAGTCGGGTTGCTTTTTCGAGGCCCTCGACGATGGCGCCAAATGTCTCGAATGCCGTGAACGTCAACTGCAGCAGGAAACACACACCCGCCCATGGCAGTGCAGCATGGACAGGATCAATTTGGACAGCCGCATCCACCACCTGCATAAATTTCTTGACGTGAGCAGCAATTTTAGCGCATACATCGCGAATGACGAGTTCTTTGCCCCCAATGCTGATCGTGGTCCATTTGTCTCTTTTACAGCGGTCGCGTTGGGTTTCGAGAGCTGCCAGTATTTCGGTCAAGATATGCTTGGTATTTGATGATGATGATGAATTGGGGATCTTTAGAACCCGCCGGTCCTTCTCTGAGAGAGAGGATAACGCGATGGCCCAGAGCGAAGGCGTGGGGTCTACAGAGATGGTCATTGCGAGACTCGTTCTCTCGAGCACTCACCATCAAAATTAAGCTCACTGCGTCACAACCACAATGCAATGAGAAAAAAGGTTTCTGTTAGTTTCGCTGACAAACAGGTGAGGAGATCTGAGCATAGCACATTATAAATGTAAGGGGGGGTGAGGCAGTGGATGCAGGCTGACAGTCAAACTTGGAAGGAGAGCCTGACCCGATGCCGCTCGGATCCAATGTGGGGGCCGAATCCTGCGATTCCATCTCACCATACCCTAACACGAAATAGTCTCATCTTTATAGACGTAGCTTATAACGGCCTAGATACCTGAGCATTGAAGTAGTTCACACAATAGGTCAGAGACATGTCCTATATAATCGATGGCTTGTGCTTGCGAAAAGTAGACAACATACAATATTACACTTACTTCTTGATATACCTTGTCAAATATATTATCGCGTGGGGATGGTTGGATATACTTAAAACTCTACAGCATCGGACACACGTATCAACGCACTGACATGAAGGGCGTGTAGTCTGTTGGGATCACCATCTAGCTTGCCTCTTAGGCAGCAGAAAGGTAGTCGCTATCGATGTATGAAATTGACATATGATGTTGCCCTTATCCACCGGCGGAAATTATTCTCCTTGTTAATTCTTGCTATTTCATAAACCCGGGGTAGACCTGTTTGAGTTCCTCGCCTCCTCACGTCATACAGGGTAATCCATTTGAAAGAAGCTTGCTAGATGTATAAATGCCATCTACTACCCCAGTCCCCTTCCCCTCAACGATCCATCATCCAAACACCCTCACTCTCAACTCATACCATTGCTACCCCCAAAGAACTAACGCCATCTAAAACCACACAATGTCCAAAACCTTCTCCACAGACCTCTACGGCGACCACAGCGGCCGCCACCCCTCCATGGGCGACCTCAAGAACCGCCTCTCCGTGCAAGTCAAAGACAAGCTTGCTAATGAAGTCGCTGAAGACCCTCGTACAGCCTACATCAACTACGAAGGCAGGATCCGAAAGGTCAAAGAGCACGGCAAGCTTTACGAGAACCCGTCGCACGAGGAACTCACCTTTGGTCCGGATGGTTCTGATACCGGCAGACATGGTTGGCATGGCTGGACTACTGCCCATTTGCGGGTGACCTTTGATGCTGAGGATATTTGATTCGTCTTTACTTTATGTTCCTTGGATTGGGAACAATGGATGAGGAGGGGATGAGAGGGGGTGTTAGTGTTAAGTCTTTCAGTGATTTGACGCAGAGCAAATGGCCTTGGGTGGAGGAAGATTTAGGTGGGTGTTTGAGGGAGATTGGTAAATCCATACTTGCAGGCTCTCTAGTCACCTTGTCTTATTGTCAATTTTATTTGAGTGGGAATGTTCATCTTAGTAAGGCTGGAAGTCTAGCTATAGCAGAGTGTTCAGGTTCTTTTTTCATGTTGGCCACTTAACCTCCCATGATCCTCCTCCTGTACATGGACTTCCTATACTCTAAGACGGATTTTGAATCCCGGTATCCAAAAACGGGGATTCGAAGTCGTACTACTGTCTAGGCGTATATATTATCATATGAACGATCTCAGTGTTATGCTGGTAGTAGTGTGGGTCATTAGTATTCAGAGAGTATAATTGTCCGCAGTAGCTACATTATATATAAGTACTTCTGGGTTCCTTGGCAAGGCTTCGACGAAAACGGATATAGTCTGCTAGACTGCATGGTCACAAAGCTTATCTTGAAAAGCTTTAACCATAAAGTCTTGTTTCTAAATTTTCTCGCAAAAAGTTATATTTGGCTTAGCGGAGACTACAGCCGAATGCCCGCTGCTACCATGGTCCTCGGCCTTGAACACGAGCTAATGGGGTGTGCTTGCATGAACCCTGACTATCACCCCGTAATCTCGTAAATTGAAATCTGACCTACAGAACGTTTCGGAAATTAATTTTTGGTAGACTTATTTAAAATTTAAAAATACGAGTCGGTGCCATGGGACGGAGGCATCTCTCCGTGTTGGCTACTACTGCGGGGATATACAACCGCTTCACTAACCACCACTAGGTATAACACTTGCTGTGAAAAGTGAACCAACTATCGTAGAGCTGGCGGATGCGATGGAAATCAAATAATGAATCAAGTACGACCGTTGTCATCTTACTATCTGTTAGTCGGAAGTAGACATGTGGTCCTTCAAAAGTCATATACTGCAGTCCTCCAGCCACGCACATACCTCGACAGCTACTATTGTAGGCATCGATAATGTATATGGAGACACCACATAATTGAATCCAAACACTAACACCCACCTACACCCCCTCACACCCACCCCCCACCAAACAACTCCCTCTCAAATCCCCCAAGCTCTCTCCCACCCAGAACCTCACCCCCTCCCCACCAACCGGAACCCTCCAATCCTGCACCTCTACATCCCAGATACTCACATCCTTCCTCGTGACATTCATCACGACCGTCTCACTCTTCCCGGGCTCCAAAATACCCGTCTTCTCGAACTGTCTCAACTGTCTTGACGGCGCATCTACCCCTAACGTATCAGTCGGCAACTCCACGTAAAGCTGCGCTACAGCACGACCACTGTAATTCCCACTGTTCGTGATAGTAACTTCCACCGCGAATGCAATGTCCCAGAGAGCGGGATTGCCGCCGGCACCACCTCCAGCTCGGGGTGCGGGTTTCGGAGTGGTGGAGTAGCCGGATGGGTAGGGGTATGAGGATGAGGAGGAGTTCGTGACTGATTGGGGATTGTCGAGGTAGGGGTACAGGTAGCGCCAGATGCGGGAGAAGGAGGAGGGCCAGGCGACTTCGGATGGGTTGGGGATGGCGGTGGAGTAAGATGGTGTTGGGCCTTTGGATGGCCGGGCTGGGGGGTAGGCTGTATCTAACTCAGTGACGGTGGTGAGGGAGGGAGTGGAGTAGGTGAAGGTGGTGTAGGAGAGGCCGTGACCGAAGGGGTAGCGGGGGGTGATGTTGGCTTTGAGGAAGTGGCGGTAGTCGATGTAGAGACCTTCGGTGAAGTCGTCTTGGATTTGTCCGAAGGCTTGGTCGAGGAGGCCGACGCTGGAGGGGTAGTCGGATTCTTTGTAGGGGATGGTGTAGGGGAGGTGCCCGCTGGGAGAGGATGAACCGAAGAGGATGTCAGTTAGGGAGTAACCGGCTTCTTGGCCGGGGAGGTGGGCGATGAGCACGGCTTTGACGGGGTCAAGGTCAATCCAGTTTTCGAGCAGGATGGGGCCGACGGTGTGGACGATTACGATAACGGTGGAGAAGACGTCCGCGGCGGCTTTGACGAGGTCGTCGCCGTTGTGCCAGGCGTAGAGGTCGGCGGTGGTGCGGTCGCCTGGGTTGTTTTCGACGGTGATGTAGTTTTCGCCGGAGTCGGCGTTGATGAAGACGAGAGCGATGTCGGAGGCGTTGGGTCTGAGGTTTGAAGGGAAAGAGTCGGTGATGTAGAATTCGGCGGAGGAAGAGAGGTTGGCGATGGCTTGTTGGGGGGTTACGAGATATGGGAGACGAGATGTGCCGCTGCCCCAGCCCATGGTGAGGACGCCGTTGTCGCAGCCCTGGTCGGTGCAAGAGTTGAGCCCGTTGGAGTTGGGGCCGGCGTCGGTGCCGAAGATTTTGAGAGAATCGGTGGTTGAGAGAGGCAGCGTGTTATTCTCGTTCTTGAGAAGGGTGATGGCGTCGCGAGCAATGGCATGAGCGGTGATGTTGTGGTTGCCCTGGACGTTGACATATTGGTTGACCACGCCGCTAGGGGAGAAGAGGGCGCCGGGATAAAGAGGGCCAGTCTCGTCGAGGGTGTTACTAGAGAAGTTCGGGAGAGGATAGTCCTCGTCCTGGCCCATTTTATACCAGGTCGCAACGATGCGCGTGACCTGGAAGTGTAAGAAATGTCCCTCTGAAAGAGGTGATGGTACTCACCATGTCATTGAGGCGTTCGACAGGGACAGTGCCGTTCAGAATAGACCGGGAGAGCTCCGAACCCCAGTAACTATCTCCAAGCAGTGGGATGCTGCCATCTCCTGGCATACTCATATCCAAACCAGCCAAGGCAGACGATACACCACCGAGTTGAGCGAGCCAGTCTGTCACAACGAAGCCCTGGAAGCCGAGTTCATCCTTGAGGATGCCATTGATGAGCATACTATTCTGGCTGCACGCTGAGCGGTTGACCTTAAACCCAAGTTAGCGAGAAGTAATCGACTCGGAAGACAAGCACCAACATCATTATACGCCATCATGACCGACCCCGTCCCAGCACGAACACCCTCCGCAAACGGCCACAGATACAGTTCATGGAGTGTCCGATCATCAATGTTCGAAGAATACCCTTGCGTGATGACACTACTCATGCGATGCATCTCCTGCTCATTACCGATGAAATGTTTGAGACTCGCGATCGCCCCCGTACTCTGCATGCCCTGGATGGTCAACGCGCCGCCGATAGCCTGAAGACTGGGATCCGCGCCAAATCCCTCCCAGTTACGGCCTCCCCTGGGCTTGCGAAATGTCGGACCGACAACAGGGCCCAAGAGTACATTGACACCCTTGCCGCGAGCCTCTTCTCCGAGCTCGACGCCGCGCTGGTACATAAGCTCCTTATCAAATGTTGCGCCCACCGTAACGCCAGGAGGAAAAGCAGTGTTATGGTCCGAGTTGCGGATGCCCAGCGGGGAGTCATGCAGACAGAGATTCGGGATACCGAATCGAAGCGCGCTTCCTGTTTGGCCCGCACAGGGGCCCATGAACATTCCGGTGCCTGTTGTGAGGTTTACCTTCTCTGCCAGTGTCATGTTGCTTACGACCTTTTGCGCCTTTTCGTACGCACTGGCCCAGTCGGAAAGCCAACCGCCGTTGGGGGCTGGGTAGTAGGGGGGTGAGAAGGCGCCATCGTCTCGAGTGTGTAGGGGAGCGGAGGAGGCAGTCGACCAGGGGATAATACCTGCCAATAAGGCTAGATACAGAGGTGATTTCGCGCCCATGGTTGACTGTGCATGCGACGACGTGGACGTGCAAGAGCTGGGACGTACCCGGAGACGGCAGTGCGGATACCAGACAGGAGATATACGCCGACGTGCTCAGTTCCTTTCTGCCTACAAGGTTCCAGACTAGACCGGGTCTACCTGCCATGGATCATGGGGTCCCAGCTGGATAAATACAAAATCGTGGTCATGCCACAGCACAATTGGGTCAGGCCCAATGACAACAAGGCCAAGGGGTGTAATGGCGACGCCATGTGCGCACGCCAAGGAAGCATAGTACTGCTCGGTCGCAAACAAGATAGAGGCATTGGGACGGGAAAACGCAGGGACTGGGGGGAAAAGAGCAAGTGATCAGCGGGGATGGCGAGGAGGGCCAACCCGGGGATGGAATGTCGGAGGGAAGATCCGTGTTTGCGGGCGGAGCAGATGATGAGGAACGGTTCATTATTGCCCTCATTTCAGCCGAAGCAGGGAAAGGATCATCCTGGCTACACATTAGCCGAAGGAAGAAACTGGGCCATGACAGCGCGGGGAATCTGCAGGATTGCTGCAAGTTGGTTGCACGGGGGACGTTGCAGGTTGCAGCTGGCGTGTGACGATCAGCCGAGGCTATTGTTAGACATATGCATGACTTCGCTTGTGCGGTTTGGGAGATGATCATCGTCCACTATCTTCATGAGGGCGATGTGAATGGAGAGTTACGGTCCGTGGGATCTTCAGGGGCAGTGGCAGACAGCCATCCATGGTTCGATTCAAAAGGAAAAAGGAGCCACTGATATTCGAAGTATCTAACTACCAACCAGCAAAGAACTGTTCGCCGTTACTACCAACGCCTGGCCTATTCATGCATCCAACTCCGTCGTAAAACCAACCAGCAGCAATACGCCATAAAAGTAAAAAGAGAACTCCACGTTAATGCCCAACCCTGAGCCTAAACCAAAGCAGCGCCCGTCAAAGGCCGCTAACCACCCAGTCGTAGTCCAGGCCGGTCGCTTCCACATCAACCTGCTTCATGAGGTCACTAGTCTCCGGAAACAATGCACAGGGGCCCCGGGGGCAACCCAAGTCTTCATGAAACAGGCGGGTGCACTGAGGCTCGCCCACATCCGAAAGGATTCGTAGCAGATATTCAATGCTCCATCCCTCAAACGGGGCCTCGGGTGGCGGGAAAA